CAAATCAAAGTATGCTGTAGATGGAACCCAGGTAATACCGTCTTACCAATCCCAAATTCTCTTCACACGGAATCTAAATTTTCCCTAAAGTTTTACTGCAATATGTAGGTGATGAAATGGAGGCATGGCACAATTTTTTCCAGTCTGATGTGTTAGAGTTATTTCTAATAACAAACAGAAAGCAGCAATTTGTACAGAGTTAATTAAATGGTTGCACCAGTGTGAAGTTCCAAAATAAGCAGCTCTAATTTCAGGACTTTGGAACGATCTACAAACCACTACCGAAATTCTAAATGTATTTTAGAGCCAAGAAGGGAAAAAACAAACAAACAACTAAGTGTGTAATATATTTTGGCCATAAATAAATGAGGTTTTAAAGATCACTTCGAGGTGGAATAAAGGAAGCAAAAAATACAAGGACCACATAAGGCAATCCACATCTGATCCAGGAATGCGTAAATTTCAATCTGAAACGGAATCTCCTTCAAGTCATTCTTAGTATTTTTGCTAGTGCAGTGGTTTGCAGAAGCTATGTGAGACTTCTGCACCAACTCTTAGAATAGTACCCCTTCCCTCCCTCTGATCTGGAGCACAATCTAGATGCACAATTCCCAGATATTTCAACAAACTCCACCTGTTTGGGAAGAGGATGGAACCAGGCCATGCCCTTCTTACATAGGCGGTTGACAAACTCACTTCAGATGTTTATAGACTCTCTAAGCCCAGACAGCAAATGCATGAGAAAAACAAAGGAGCTCAGAATTCTTAAAGGCATTCCAATACAGTCACACTGACCCACAAATACCTAAAAGATTTGCACCAGGGGGTGCAAAATTTCTTCTTGGAAAGAGTGGTGAGGCATTGACACAGGCTGCCCAGGGAGATGGTGGGGTCACCACTCCTGAGGATGTTCAAGAAATGTGGAAATGTGGCACTCAGTGACATGGTTTAGTGAGCACGGTGGTCAATGGTTGGACTAGATTATCTTAGTTGTCTTTTCCAACCTTAATGACTGTATGATCCAAATAGAAAGGCCTTAAAAGTGATGGGGCATATTTCTGAGCCTGCCAAACCTGCACCAAGACAGCTGAGAATATTCAGCCACAACAGGGAGTATTCTTGCCAAAAGACTGCTCTCTGTCGCTCACTGGGAAATGTTACCCTCTGTCACTCACTGTTACCCTTGGAAATGGAATACCTTAATAGTGTCTAAAAGGTCTTCTATGGCTGTAGTCTAGCAGGATAACAGAACCAGAAAGCATAATACAAAACTGCTGTTCAGTAAAATAAAATAGTAGACTAGCAACAAACTAACCAAAAGCATTAAAAAAAAAAAAAAGAAAAAAAAAAAAGAAAAAAAGATTGTTCTCTGCAAGAAACTAAAGGAACTGAAAAACAGGAACACCTGAATGGCATAGGTCATAAAAAAAAAATCAGCCACGTCTGCAAAATCTAGCAACCTGGGGAAAGGTAAAGGTAGCAGGATGAGATTGCAACCACCATCTCAGTTTGATGCAAAAAGCCCTGCTAGACACCAGCAGGCAGCATGCATGCTAACTGGGATACATAGTTAATAGAAAACTATGAAGTAAGATCTATCTACTGATTTTGCTTGTAAACAACAAATGCACGCACAGAATTACATCGATATCATGTTGTGATCTGGGAAGGCGTGCTATCTTTATGGTATCACCACCTGGCCCCAACCTTGCGCAAAACTGAAATAAGAAAATCTTGGCTCTGTATGTGGAATTGGCAAACTGCACACTGGGTGAAAGAACTCCGTATGTGGGACAAAGGATGCAGAGTTCATGTGGAGTCAAGGCGTGGCAACGTCCCTCAGATCTCCTGGAGACAATCCAGGAACAGCACGATGGCCTCAGTGGAACAGGCTGACAGAGGATGTGGAGTCTCCTTCTACGGAGATATTCAAGACCCACCTGGACACCTACCTGTGCGACCTACTGTAGGAAGCATGCTTTAGCAGGGCATTGGGCTCCATGATCTCTAGAGGTCCTTCCAACCCCTATGATTCTCTGACCTCCACACTGCACCCTTTCTCCTGGGGGATGCTATCAGGATGGACTGCATAGCAGTGATACCTTCAGGGCCCTCTGCTAAGATGGCGTATGCCAACTTCTGGGGTCAAAGAGGATGGCACAGACGCAAGCTGAATCCTAGTTGCTGGCTGAGATATCTGAAATGAAGAAGTGTGCTGGAGGAAACTATTCCAGCACTGCAAAATTAGGGGAAAGCAGCTAAAAACAAATAATGCTTACAGAAATCAAAACCCAGATAGGATTGAGTTCCCCGGAACAGCCCCTTACAAAATCTGCCCGAACACAATGAGAACCTTGATTCTTCAAGACTAAAGGGGACATCAGTGGGAAGGGCTGCAGACAAGTCAGCCTCAGATATTGCTCTGAGAAGGGACTAGTACCACACAGAGAACAGAAGTGGCTGAAACTCAAGATTTTCTGCAACAAAAAAAGGAGAATAGCTTTTGTGTCATCTAAGAATGAAACTGATCTTACGAACATTTCACACAGTGGGAATTCAGAAGTACTGTTTTGAAAAACATTTAATAAAGCATTTTGTTCAATTGCCTGAATGAAGGCCTCCAGCTGATGAGAAAAGTGATGGCCCAACATTCAGCCTGTCACACAATGATAACATTAGTGAATATTGCCCTTGTCATCTCTTTATTTCTGATCTGACCGTAGAGTAGAAGCAGGTAAGGTCATTTAAACCAAAATCTTCACTATTGTTCACTATCTGCAATCAGACTGCAAGGAATACTGGAAATACAGTTGGAATTACCAAAACTTAACACAAAATGTGCTACAGAAGGGTTGAATATTCTCAAAAATAAAAACCTTGTCTATTTAAAATTGGACCACCTAACATTAGCAGAGACTTCAAAAACGTTGAAATTTTTGCATGCATTCATCAGAAAAGAGTAAAATAAGGATTTTAACTCTTATAGCTACTGCAAAGATAAAATCTTTGAGATTTGAGGATAGGAAAACCAATGTGAAAAAAACAAAAACAAGAACCACTCTGTGTGGAGTTCAAAGTCTGATGAAGTGAAATAGAACAAAGAAAAAAAACTGAGTAAAGACTTACTAAAGAAACGAGGCAGACCGTCTCCAAAACTAGTTTTACTTGTTTGTATATTGATATTTTCTTCAGAAGAATAAAGAAAAATACTGTTTTTCACAACCATTCCGTACTCTTAAAATTATCACTAATTATTACACAGAACTGCTTCTCACCAGGGATTTTGAACATAGCAAAAGAAAAAATCATGTCCCTAATGCCTTACAGCCTTCCACTGAAGAGAATAAAAACAAGAAATCACATTTTTGTAATCACCTTATACATATTTCTGTAATCACTTACTGTACTTAATTAACCTGTTAGATTTTTATACACCATGTTCCATAAAATAGTTTATAAAATTGCATATGAAAGGGATATAAAGGACATATATAGACATATCTACATCTATCTATATATACATATATAGAGAGAGAGACATATATATATCCCTTATAATTACGAACTAAGAACTGCAGGTTCCCAGTAATCATCAACTGAAAACATGGCAGTAACCTTCTCAGACAAATACATGCAACGAAAGAGGCCATGAAGTAACTTTCCACATGTTTTACTTCCTCCTAACCATGATTTATGTATGCCAGTATATCTCAAAGAGGAGATATTTGTGCAGGCATAAACATGGGACAAAAAACAAGAATTCAACTGCAGAACCCCTGATTTCTTATACAACCAGAATGTAGTTCTTGCAGAAGTGCTCATGAAAGTCAGTATTTCGTGAAGACACTAACACAGAAATCTATGACTTTAAAGCTAGTATGAGGTTTTGTTAAAAGAAAAGACATAAAATAATGGTGCTGAAGTAGAAACCTCATATATTTCACCTTCCAACTTCACATCTTGCACAATCAAGTCCTCCTGATTTTCTGCTAGGAAGACTGTGTGTAGGTATGTAAACACATGTATGTAATTTGCTTTTGTTGCCCAACTTCCAAATCAAATTTCTTGTCTACATAGTAGCATTCAAATAATGCAATTATTTCTAGGAGAATCTAGAACATTACATGTCACATACTTCAATTTCAAAATTGTCTCCATGTAGAACATTTATGACAGTGGCTGGCAATAAATTATACATAAATTTGAAAACATTATAGATAAATTTTCTGTGTTACCTTCATTTGCAGCAAGGAAAATCTGTTCATCAGTTACTATTTTCCATTCAGCTTAATAGCTTGTATTTTTAAACAAGACTACAGACTGTATCATGAATATTTGTTTTGCCCATGGGAAGAAATGAACTACAGAAAGCAATCAAAGATTCTCAGTGTTTGATTTTGCTTCCACAAAACAACCTATTTAGAAGTCTCCAAGGAGACATTTTAGGATCAATTGCATAAAATATGTTAGAGAGTCCAACAACAAGTCAGAACACAAATGAAGAATAAAACAGCCATGTTTCCTTCAGTGAAACAAGCATCCATTATTTAAAAAAAAAAAAAAAGCAGTTTGCAGTTATTATTTGATTAGATTCTTGTTTTGAAGTATAAGAGCTGAAGTTGTTACAATTATTTTGAACAATTCAAAATTTGGAAAACCATATATCCTCACTGGTTTTGATATAGAGTTTTAAAGTGAAATGGGAATATACTAGGTCTATTTCAAACTGTTTCACATTCTAGTCTGTTGCCATGATCCCATCAACCAGAACTCATTAGCCACTGGGGGAGTGCAGCCACCACAAGATGAGTACATCAGCTACCCATTGCCAGCAACTGAAGATTTGCATCAGCAACAACATGGAATCAATATTTTTTAGCATTCCCAGTGCAGCTGAGGTGGTGCTTAGCCCCTTGTAACTAGGCTGTAAGAAATGTAAGATCAAAAATAAGAGCAGCAGGGTCAAAATTCACGTAACCAGGTAACTAGGTATCACATACCTTTGTGGTATATAAAACATGTGCTGTGGAGGGGGTTTGTAGAGGATTCCTTCATACACAGGCCACAAACCGCTTAAAATTCTGAAAAGTGAACTCTTTCCACACCCATTGGGACCAGTGATCAAAAGATTCATGCCCTCTTCAACCTATAGTGATAATGAAAATGAGAAGATGTTACTGTGCAGTGCTCTAAGGCCCCCAGAAGGAGTTATGCAAGCATTTATATCAAATTATTAACCCTTTTCATTAATTACCTGCATATTTTTTTTTAGTGCAATCATTCTGAAAACTGTAGAATTAAATATAAGAATAAAAATAATTTCTATAAAGTCTATTTCTATAAGTTATGCTAATTATATCATTACATCAATCCATCACAGTCATAATCAATTATTCTAACGTAAATTCAGTCCAAAATTGTTAACAGCACAAAGAGCAGTACCAAGCCATCAGTAATACTAATTTAAGCAAAGTGAGCTCGATCAAATGATTTGGAAAATATAATTACCAGTGTTATTTTGGGTGCAATACATTTGGTTTCATTCATTTAAACAGGACTCTGTGTATATATGAGTGTATATTCATGCACAATCACAATGTCAATATTTTATATAAACACATTGATTGTTATATTATAATTGCATTACATAATGTCTTTGTTGAGCCAAAGAAATAAGTATAACTGTCCCTTAGATTGTAAAGCTGTAATTCCACAAATCTGCAATTCCTACACTGGAGCCATTGGAAGCTTTGCTGTAACTAGGACCCTGCACTGCTAATTCAACTACTCCAGTTTCATACAGATGTGATGAGAGAAAAAACTCTGCTTTAGCTGAATTATAGAGCCTGCTGCAATTATTCATATTACTGTTCCAGTCATTTCAACCATTTTTAAAAACAATACCATCTGCATCGGAACATAGGATCAGGATACATATGGCAGAAATGCAGTAAAGGACAGAGAACAGTACCAAGTGTAGCTACAACAGTCTTTATAAACTTCTTTTTTTTTTTGAGTAAAGACTCCACTGTTACAGTGTAAAGGACTGTGAAGCACGCTGTCAACTATTAGCACTGTTCTTCGTGGTTGTCAGGTAAAACTAACAACAGGCTCAGCTTTTTCACAGTTGCTGTGAACTCAGACTTTTAAAGGAGCCCATGTGAGCCAAGCATCCCAATTTTACTGATGTTACCTAACACGGATGTGGACTCTCACATACACCTTTTAAAATCCTAGGTCTAATTTTTCACGTGTCAGCAGCACTATAAATCCTCTCTTCTTTTTCTTTGAGCACTACACAAGTCTGCCTCTACAAAGCTACTATGCCTACCTTTCTGGACTTCCCCTTTTATCCATATGCTCCGCCAAGTACTTAACATAAGGTACATGAATTCTGTGCTGTTTATGTTAATGTGATGGCAACAATTCTTGCATATCATCTTACTTTGAAGTTTAGTCTGGAAACCACCACATCGCCATTCGGGGTAATAATAGGAACATTGTCACAAATTATTCCATTTTCAACATCAATAACTTTTCCTAAAAAGAAAAAAAAAAAAAGCAACACTTAATGTTTTTTGAAACTTCCCATGAAGCAATGATACCCAACAGCCTTCGTGCACAGCTGGGAAGCATAAGTTAGTGCGTTCAGAAACTGTTTTATGCTCCCCAGGTTCCTCAAGTGAAAAATTTGGATAGTAAATCTTAGCAGGTCAGAATTACACTGTCAATATTAGCCAAGAGTGTGTAATGAATCCTATATTTTATCATAAATACACAATATACATCTCTTCATTGTATATATATAATATACACCTTTCTAACAGAACCTAAAAAAAAACAGGCTTATAGACAAGTACCAGAAATTACTATTACATACAAGAAGCAAACAAAAAGGATTTCCCTTTGTATTAGAAGACTGCATCTTCTAAAACTTAGATTAACCTGAACAAAGGAAAATGAAGCTACAGAAAAGTTAAGCTCATTACAACAGGATCTGGTAGTATTTCCTTCAGCTAAGGTTAAAGTCTCATGTCTTCTACTAGAAGGCTATTTGTTCAGCTGCTTCCAACTTTGTCAAATTACAGCAAACTGAAAAAAAATTCTATTTCATTTATCAATCTAAGTGCTATTTTTCCCTAACATAAGTTTCATTTGAAACAGTAGCACCAACATGAAACTATGGAAAACAAAACTGTTTTGCTATTGAAAAAAAGCCATGATTGCAACCTTCTCATACCACTGACAGGCTCCACTACCTTCAGACTTCTCAATGGCACTTGATATACAGCTGGGAGATCAACCACCCCCCATCAGCCATGCAGTTTTCACAGGTTCATGAACAGGCAGACAGATTTGGCCAAGACACTTTTCAGAAAAGGGCTGTACCTTTTTTCACTCCAACTACAGGAATATTTGCATTTGAGTTGGCACCTAACTGTGGAGAAGATCTCAAGCAAATTTGCAAAATTCACTCATGTTTCTGAAGAATGCAATTGCAGGAGAATAACTGTAGTTTAAAAAAGGATGTATGACACACAATAGTAAGCTAAGTACTAAGTAAACTTAATTCCCATTCCCTAAAGTCAGAGTGATTGACAACCACAGTGTGCTTTTAAACTTTGTAATCAGAAGCACAATTTTACAGAACTTCTGTACAAATGTATACAAACATATTCAACTTTAAAATTCTGAATATTAGATACCTTGTATATATAGCAATATAATAATCTGTTAAAAATATTCCAATATTTCCCATATTTTCACAATGTTCTTATTGACAATGGTGAATGAACGGCAAAGCACAGTCATTCTTCAGGTACATAAGTTTGTACCAGACAATTTAAAAGGAGTGTGGAAGAGCTGTGAATACTGAGAGTTTTCTAACAGTGGAAATGTACATGCATGTGATCACGTGTACTTTTATCCACATAAAAATCCACTCTGTGGGGATTTCTAAAGTACCAAGACTGAAAGAAAGGAGGAAAGCCAGCATACAATGGCACAATGGCTCTTGTCAAAAAAACTCCAGGGCTTGTGGCCTAGATTCATCTGGCCTCAATTCTGCTTAATTCCTCGTGCCTAGAGTTCCGTACTGGCCAGCTGCCTCTGAGAGCCTGCAACCACTGCATACCAATGTTAGCCACTGCAACATGGGGGGAATTCAGGCTAGGTGAGATGTGCCACACAGGTGGAATCAAAGCTCAAAAGGAAACACAAACAGTGTTCTTTCACATCTGCATGTATTACCTTTAATTTTTAAAATACAGAGTTACCTAAATGACCCCAAAATTACTTAGCTGTTTCAAATAACTAAATGAATTTTTCTCTCGTACATGACAAAATGTAACAGCCGTACAACATCAAATGCCAGCCAAATACTGCCAAGACCTACAAGATTAAGGCATCAGCTGTTTCCACAGCTATCCACTGCACTGCATCACACCTTTTCGAAGGGCCCTGTCAGGAGACCATTGAGAAATTTGTGCAGAAGGGTAATGCCGTTGAAAGTGTCTGAAAAAGTATTTCATAAGGAGCGCTCTGGTGCTTTCCACTCCAGTGAGATTTAAGTTTTCAGAAACTGGAGGGTGAGAATGAGGTTTTCCAACACCAAAGAAGATAAAAAAAGGAGATGGTGTATAATGGAGCACAATAAGAAATAGATGAACACAGGAAATGCTTTGTGAAGGGTGCAGACAGAAAGACAGAGGCTCCAGAATGATACAAGCTAGGGACGGGAGGAAGAAGCTGCATATTCATCAGGTTATTTGGGAGAGGGGGGCAGAGAGAGCTGTCAGCACATTTCCGGTAGAATATCCTCACTACAAGATGAAAAGGTGAGCAAAGGCTGAGAGTAATTGAAAACAAATTATTATTTTTGTCAAAAACCACTGAACCAATTTCTCTTTCCCTCCTACCCTAAACAAAATAATTACATTTGAAGATGAAAATGTTACAGTTTCCTTTTTCTGAAAAAAAAAGAAGTTAGAGGAAAGCAGGCACTGTCTATGCAGTGATAATAATACCATCACCACAACCACCACTTAAAATAGTACAGCTGAAATACCCTTTTCACTGTAAGTTTTCACAGAAAACATTTCAGCAATCTCTGTGGAAATGTTCTAGAAAAGCACACTGCACAAGCATCAAGTTACAAAACAGCAGAAAGATAAAACAGAAGGCAACGCGGTCTCTGGGGCATTAAAACATAGAGAATGATTTGTTATAGAAACAAATCCTGTTCATCTACTGCCCTCTGCACCAGCCAGGCATTCCCCCAGGAGAAAGATATAAAAAAATGTGACTTAATTACCCTTGATTTCTAAGGGTCCATTGACATGTGATTCTATTTTATCTTCATTCTTACTGTTGTTTTCAGTGCCTTGAATAACAGCAGTTCTCTTGTAGATGCCTCTCTTCACCTCATCGAAGACAGAAAACATGTTGTAGACACGGGCTGTGTATCCTGCTAACTCAGTAACCTGTGAAACAGCAAATGCCTCATTGCAGTTATACTTCACAGATTCTGTAAATGAAATGCTTGGCCAAAGATTCTCAAAAAACATTCCCAGCTATTCTCAGTTATTACTCTGGAAAGATCAGTGATGCATCTTTTGTCACCTACCAGTTCTTCCTCCTTTGAGATTCTGTCCTAACCAAAATGCCACCCACAGCTTGTAACAGCCAGCAGACACAGTCTGAGGAGGACAGATGCCAGCCAATGTAATTTACTATTGCTCCAGTAAAGAGCAGGGACTGCTCTTTTTCATGGATCAGTACAATCTTTAACCTAGGCAGAATTGCTAGCTTAGTTCAAATTAGCCTATCATACAAGAAAAAAACAAAATTTCTGCATTTTCCAGGAAAATACAGACTGACAGCAGTTAGAAAAATAGGCACCTGTAATTATATGGTTACTTCCTTGTGTGCTCCAAATCTCCAGCAAGAAAGATGTGTTTCGCCTGTGTAAAACAGGCAGCACAAGGGCATTTGCTAATGAAAAATACTGCACAGAAAAGAAATGATTGTCCTATAATCTGCATGCCGGGTACCAGAGCCAAATCTGAGATCCTGAATTGCAGGTGGAAATTTTTAAAATAGTGAAGTCTCTTGTAGGGCTTTATGATTTTTTTTATCCCTTTATCTCAGTTACCACCTGGTGAAAACAGGAAGAACAGATCTCTCCTCCAGGAGATTTCTTATTCACAGGCACTGACATTGCCAAAACTCCTAAAGAACTACCTCCATCTGCTGGCAGCAAAGAATTAAACCTGGGCATCTTATGTATGAATTATGAGATGTTTTTAAAATGAAAGATTTTTATAGTAAACACAGAGAGCAAGATAAGAATAGCAAGAAAATCAGCATGAGATTATAAAATGTTTAGCTTGTAGTTAAATACATATAAGCTATAATTCATCCCACCTGCAACGGGCATAAAAAGATTCAATATATGGAGAAACAATCCTGTGAAAATTTCACTGCATTAGACACAGATCTGAGTACTAGACAGGGTCAGTGCTCCATTGGAGATTAACAATTACACAACACCTCAAAAAATTCAGCTTGAAGAGAATAACCAGCCAATATTTCAGTTCCACCAACAAGCAGTGATGCTTGATGGAGAAAATCCTGCACACAGTGAAAAACGTAACAACTGCACCCCACAACAAAAAAAAAAACGTGTAGGAAGTTTCCAAACCATGATTCTACAAACTTGCTTCATCATAACACTAAGTGCTACCATCTAAATATTGACCCACAAACAAAAGATGAGCCAATGTTATCTGCAAGCTGAACAATGCTGACTATAAAATGGGCACTTGGGTGGATTGGGTAGGCAAGAACTGGAGTCTCACTGTCACTTGAAGTGGATTGAAGCATGCTGTCATACTGGAAACTGCCTGAACCACAAAGCAGGAATGATAAACTGGTTGAAGCACTGCAGTATTTAAGAAAAGTAAAGTGCAAATTTAAGATAGAAGCTCAAAGAGCTGATTTTTGATCTCATGCTGGCTGCATTATAATTTCACTATATGATAAACCTCATGAGTTTGTTCAGCTGTTACTACCGTGTTGCAGGGATTTGTTTTTCCAAAATATAATTGCACAATGTTTGTAAGTCCCCACACACACAGATCATATAAATGACTTAGATATTGAAAATGAAGTAGAATAACATCCGTGCATAATAGCTTATCTGGCAGTCCCTCTAGAGCAGAGGTCAGGCAGGGAAACAGCCAAAGCTGCATAAGTCAAAATCACAGTCCATTAGAACTCTGCGGAAAAACAACACAGACTCTGGCCTTATCAGAGACTGTTTGAAGGTGCCAAACTACCCCTCCTCTTCCAATTTAAAAAGCTGTAGCTATTAATGCTGGATTCCAAGTAAAGGAATTCATAATCTTTGGTTGCGGTGCGTGCCTCCTCCCATTGCACTGGGAAAAGGCATCCCCACGAAAAGGACAAACAAAAACTAACTCAACAAACACAGAACCACATTCAGAAGGAAACACTGAGAAGAGTAACAGCTTTGCCTGGATTTTGACTTGCTTAATAGTCTGTGCCTAGAGAAATCGCCTGGAGAGATGACAGACAGACTGCAACTAGGGTGATGACACCCATATCTTATGCTCCAGACAAACATCCTGCATTTCTGGGCTATTTGCAGTCATACGGCAGATTTTTCCTGATAAAATTTCTCTGCTGTACAAAATTACTTACAAATTAACAGGTTCAGAACAGTTTAAGTGGACAGGAAATAAGTGTTCAGTTCTTTCTGCATGTCATATACTTTTCAACGTGAGAGTCCCAATTCTCTGGTCCACTAAGAAGACGACAACCTGAACTCAGGTTTGTGCTCCAAGCAGAAGAAGGCTCTGAACCTCTATCAGCCAGATTCTGGGAATTTCTATTGCTCTCTGATGGCACCTGAACACAGGTGTTAAAGATAATATCTGTGTTGCATCATATCAACAGCTGTGCACTTCAGACTCATTGTGGACCTAACTCTAAAGATCAAACTATCAGTTCAAAGTTTACCATAGATTTAGTTGAGACAGTATTTACCTTAAAAAATAATTTTTTTTTTTATTTTCACATTAGATGTAAACCCATTTTACTTTTACTTCCTTTACGTTTTGCACATGACTGACATACGATACCTCTTTGTATGAAGACATAATCCTTTCAATAGCATCTGCACCAGAGATCAGTAGGTTTCGTGATGTGGTGAAAGCTTCTGTTCTTTCACTAACCATTGCCTGCTTCTGGCCATCTTCTAATTCTGAAAGTTTTTTAAAAGAAGAAAACTGTTAAGTATCATCAAAATGTGAGCTTTTAATTAAACTCTATAAAAACAACCCTTCAGAAAGAACCACTGAATGTAATTAGCGTAGACAGCTTGGTAACAAAGGGTAAAGGGAATGTACGAAATGCATCTTCTTATGCCAAATATCCTATTCTTTTACACTACTTGTCTCCTTGGGTAATTTCATCCTAACATATAATTATCCAATTTACAATTTTTCAAAATATGTAAAAGCGAAACCTAAACACTGATCTGAAGCAGATTTTTGATAGCACTTTTTTACTGCTTTTGTATTCGCATATTTGTTTTCAGCCTTGCTTATTTACCTACTTATTTATGAAAGAGACATTTGTCTTGATGCAAACTTTGTAACATGGCAATATTTCTATAAGAAAGCAGTAAGTTCTTCTCTTATTAAAGACGTGTTTAAATAGGATACCTCTTTCTCTCAGAGCCGTTTCTCTGTTCATCAGACCCCAAGAAGAATACAGCAAACAATATTCTTTCACTTGGGAACTGCCTCACCTCCCTGGCAAGATCAAATTCCAGAAATCTACAGGCAGTATCAAAGCCAGACCTATCCTTCTATCTTTATTAGACACGTGGATCTAAATACTATCTTTTTCACTGACATATCAAAAACAAATCCCTACATAATTAAGTTTTGAATCACTGAAATATTACATGGATCATCTGTGGAAAACTTTCTATACTTCTCATACATTAATTTTGCTTATATAGCTCAGCTATATGTTTTTCCTGTCCTCAGATATTTCGACAATGTAATTTTTTAATAATTTAACCAGTGAGTACACTGTCATCTGACTGTGTGCAATCTAGCCACTTAGGCCACAAGGAGAGGCATGGTTTAAAAAAAAAAAAGAGAGAGAGAGAAGATGAAGTCTCCTGCAAAGAAAGGAGGATTATGAAACTCCTGCACATGATGGCCTCATTTATTTACAAAGTCATTTTCACTCCAGGAAGAGTAAACTTTGGTGATAGCAAGAATTCAGTTAACTCACTGCTATAAACTAAAACAACATTTGTTTCTGATTTCTCAGAGAGCCAAACTTTACTGGTTTTGTTGGGATTCTAGCTCGTGCAGCCCACAGTATGTAGAACTACCAAAAATAAATCATTTAGGAACTGGCCTAAAGCAGTATTTCCTCCTGGATGCATTTGCTTTCAGCTGTTTCCAGCACCCAGGCTTGCTTACTTACCAACAACATGGAGATCTCTGCATACTGTTCATTTTAAGCATACTCCAAAAAGGGCTATTTGACAAATTAAAATTACACAGAATTTATGACTGTTTTGCTGTTTCAAAACATCTCTTACAGGTCTAACTCATCAACAATTTGTGTACTTACCTCTGTTTGAAGAAGTGTGACACTGAAACAGTGCAGACAGATTGTCCCTACTTCACGCAGTATGTAAACATTTCCCTTTTAATTTATGTAATTCACACTCCTTCTTGTGTTATAACCAAAATAAGAGTTCATTATGTCCACCAAAATCTGAGCCTTATTTTCAAAAATGGCTACTTCTCAGAAACTGATGAGACCTTTGGAACACCAAAGGTTTAATACAACAAAAATGAGAAATATCATCAAATGGAAATCTTCTCTTTGCCAGTTAATTTCCTATTTCCTAAATATCCCCATTAAAAATGATTCTTTTTTTTTTTCCTTTTATTGCAGTATATATATATATTTTTTTAAGATTTCTTTCTTTCCCTTGAGGAAGTGTATGAAATCTGCTGCTTTACACCTGAAGTCTCAGGTCTGGTCACAGAAGAAGTTTTATGCACTTACTTTATTCTGGCAATTTGTCCTGAAGTCCAACATCTGTTCCTTCAGATTTGAATTAACTAGCACCTGACCTGCTGAGGCCTAGGGCACCACTTTGCCAGCTAGATAAATGTTTGATCCAAGTCCAAGTCTGTTCAATTCTTTCAATACTTGTTACACACTGGTTCTGACAGTATCATTTGTCAGTATTAATTACATGTTTATGAAGAACCATTACAATATGCCTCAGGGCTCCATACTAGTTTCACGCTCTAACGTTATGTTGCTGGTACAAATATTCTTTGCTTTACAACATGAATTATCTCTGTATCTTCTTTTTCTACATTTCAAAAATATTTATCAAAAATATACTCATGAGTAACAAGAATGCTATTTGGTTGAGCATGCACACAAATGAATTATCCATCTATAAGTTCTATATACTTTCACTGTGGCTTAATCCTTGCAAAGGACAGTCTTTTCCATTTTTTATTCATGCTGTAATACCAGGGAGATACATACAATGTGCAATCAAATGACTTTTCTCTGACTGCACTCGTTCTCATCCTGCAGATGGACTCTTACACTGATGATGGCACTCTCACACTGATGGTGATTCTCACTCAGCACTTCTGCTTCCGCTTGCACAACCTTCACTAGTTGCACGAGGTGAAACAGTTTTTACAAACTCTTCTGTTTGGAACAGGACCTTCTGATATTTCTGAAGCTGTTAGCAGGATGCCAGTGAGGGTGCTGATATGGTGTCCCCTGAGCCATGTGACAGGCAGCAGCTCAGGCAGCTAACACCCAGCCACGTGCAAGCACAATTGTGAGACTACTAAATAATGTGTGGGCAGGTCGAACCGAGCTTGTCAATGGAGCTGAACAGCCCTGATCTGAAACCTGCAAATCCTTACAAAAACCTGCACTGAAAACAACACCTTTATTCCTATTTAAATGTACCAAATTTAAAACTCATCCTCCTGCTTATGTTGTAGTATCCATGCTTAATGAATCCTAGGGAGTTTGTAACGTTTTCTGCGATCCCACCTGTGCATAAGGCAACCTGTTGAGGCAAACTCTGACTTGTCTTCATCCCCCCTCCCTAACTACCTTCCTTTCTGCTCCCTTTTTTTTTATAGCATTTACAGTAACAACAGTCTCAATTCACTTCTTGGAGAAGTTATGTCAACAGAATGTCAAAAATGATGACACGAAAGCCTTCATTGCTCTTCTCCCAGTGAGTCAGGGAAAAACAGCAGTTCCTAACAGCCAACATGTAATACAATAACTAGCTATAGTTACACTGTGGTTTACAGAACAAGGAGATAAGCTCTCTAGGAAAGCCAACAAGAAGTATCGTATTTTAAAATAGTAGGAGTTGCTGCAAGAACCAGCATGGCATCCCAATGACAGCCAGTGAATGAGAACTGCAACTGTCGTTATAATCTCACAGGAGTACCCCTTAAGTCCCAAATGATGACTCTTTGTCAGCTTTATGCTCTAAGCTGTATCTTTTGCATTGCTCCTCCCCCAACTGACTTGCTATGCCTGAGTTACACATGAGACACGGATGTGGTAAAAAGAAAAAAAAAAAAAGGCTGTGAACAATAAAGAAACGTGAACAACACTGAAGGAAAGCAGTCTTTTGAGGATGTAACTTTACAGAACCATTTGGAAATAAATAAAAATGGTATTACCGCCATCTGCAAATCCTGTTGCGGTGATGATGGGCACAGCGACCATGACCATGCCACAGCTACTCCAGACGTACTTCATCAGGAACTGCTCTATCATGATGTACCATAAGCGTTTGGATAAAATGAGATTCATTTGATCTGCCAAAGCCTTGTAGCTTTTTTGCAGTTGTTTCATTTCCACCTACAGTTTAAATAAATACATTTATGCAACACAGCAAAAATATACATGCCATCCAAGATACATTCGCACATGTGCATGAACCAATCAAGTATCCAGAGCTGTGGTCCCTAAGTGTGCAGTACTCCATAGTCACAGTGCTGTATTCTCATATTCTCGCAGCAGAAGTGCACAGCTTTATTGAAGCCAGAGGACCTGGCTCTTACTTATGTCACTGTCCCTTTATGCCACATTGGGAAGCTTTCAGTTCTTAGCATCTGATATATATAAGAACATATGACTTGTCACTGTAGCTGACTCTAGCAATCAAAACAAGATTGATTCTACATCCTTTAAGGAACATGCAGCTGAAGAGTTTCATAGCAACCGAAACTCCTCAAATTGTAAAGTGTTTGGGGATCAAGTATCTCTGACTTAAATCTGCAGAGCTCTTTGCTGAAACACAATGCTTCTTGTTTTTGTGAACGGCCTAGAGGAAGAGAGAATTATCCCAAGAGGTTTAACAAGTCAAAGATAGTTCCAAGTCAGTATGACATCATGCACTCAGTTCAAGCCAGAAGATGTGGGAACAGAAGAAACTGTTTAATTTAGCTGTACTGCAAACACTATGGTAGGCAGCCCTGGAGAACGATCGCTTCTACCAAAACAAACCATCTGCATTATATAATTGTTGCTTGGACTGAAAGAGTTGGCAACACCTCAGGCTAGTTACCGGTCTTCATTTTCGCCTCATGTGAAACCACTTGTTTTTCCAAGTCATGCTTGAAAGCTGTAACAGCCAAAATTCACTTCTAATAAAAATACTAAGAATTCCTTCATAAGGTGGATTTAAAACAACCCATTAGTTTATGTAACTATGGCTGCTGAAGTACTGTACTTAAGCTATTTTAAGGCTCTGATGACTGCCTCTTTGCTTAGCTATGTAAAAGAGTGTCAAAGGTTGTTTTGGTGTCTGTGCTATCACAAAGACGTCCCCTAGACTTTCTGCTGTGGCTTGCTAGTGATTCCTGAAGCACTAAAGCTGGGAGCTCACAAACAAGGAAGGGTAAAAGAAAAGCCTGGAAGAGTTAAGAGGAGTGCACTGGGTGGGGAAAAAACAATAGTGACGATCGGCTTTCTAGAAAAGCACCGGGTACAGCTGCAAAACAGGAACACTGTCAGAGCACAAGGGAACTGCACTCTGCTCCCCCCAGACACTGCCTGTGAGATTGCATTTTCCTAGGAAACGGGAAGTGCAAGCTGTAAACAGGTTTAAATGTCAGAGGGACCACAGTGTGTGCACAGGGTGGCAGGGGAAGCACCGGTCAGCTCCAGTGCTGAGGAAGCAAGCCCAGCACACTCAGATTTCCCTCCTTACCTTGTGCCCCCGGTAAAAGGCGATCTCTTCCACGTTGGCGATGATGCGCGAGTGCATGAAGCGCAGGTAGCCCTTCTTGTGCGCCTCCTCGGCCACCAGCTTGCCAAACTTGGGCGAGCAGGCTTTGAGCACGCGGGCCGTGGCGTAGACAACAAGGCCGGCCAGCAACGTGGGCCCGATGGGGTTGGCACCCCGGGAGCGTGCCGTGCGGATCAGGGTGTAGGAGGTGAGCATGACATCCAGGATGGGCTTGGTGAGGTTGGAGTAGAGGTGAGCCACCGACTGCGAGAACATCATGATGTCCTCGGTGAGGGACTGGTCGGGGTTGGCCAGCCGCCCGTCCATGCTGATCACTCGGTAGTAGGTCTGATTGGCGAAGTAGATCTCGTAGGCATGATTCACCAGGCGCGTGCGGAAGGCGAGGGCCAGCTTGCACTCCAGGTACCGGATGGTGCTGTTGACGAAAGTGGCCGGGATGGCGATCATCAGCCATTTGACCAACTTGATGACAAAGCTCCGGGGCTCTTTTTCCACGATGCTCTTCACGATCTTCCCGTCGAGGGCCGCTACATAAATGGAGAGGAAGGTCCTGGAAACCAGCGCGACGGAGTGGAGGCACAACAAGCCGAGCTCGGCGCTGACCAGCTTGGGGAAGAACAGCCTGCGCAGCTCCAGCAGCTGTTTCAAGAACTCCGCGTTGACCGCCGGCGAGGTTCTGCCCCGGCCGCCGCCGCCCTGCGCCGCCCCTCGGCCCGGCTCAGCGCGGCTGCCCGCCCGCCTCAGCCGCCGCCGGAGGACGGGGTAGAGCACCTTCAGCCCGTACGCCGCGGCCAGCAGGCAGGCAGCGCGCTTCGCGGCGCTGGAGCGGCTCCATTGCAGCCGGCGGGCCGCCGCGCGCAGCATGTGGGTCATCGCGCCCGCCCAGCGCCGCTCCTAGCGGCGGCGGCTCATGCCCGGCAGGAAGGCCGGCCCCGCGGGCTCCTCGCCGGACTGCCGGGCCGGGCTCCCGCCGCGACAGATGCCGAGTGAGCGCTGCCTCCCCCGGGGTGACGGTTTCCTTCCCGGCCCGGCGCGTTGCACAACGCGGCCCGGCCCGCGACACGCCATTGGCTGCGCCGAGCGGGGCGGCACCTCCGGCGACCCGGCCGCTCCGCGCCGCTCGTCGGCCGCAGGCTTGGCCCCGGAGGCGTCGCGGTGGGACCGCGGCTCGCGGGCCTTCGGAGCTCCGTCGGTTCCCCCCCGCGGCCGCTCGGCCCGCGTCGCCGCACTCCGCGGCCGCTCGGCCCGACCGCCGGCCCCGCGCCCCTCCCTGCCGGAGGAGGGACTCGGGTCGGAAGCGCGGCCCGGCGGCCGAGGGGCTGCGGGGGGTGCCTTCCTGTCATATGCGGGTGTATAACAAAGCGTTTGTCTGCCGTGGATGAGGACGAGCGGATCTGGAAAATGCACTGCAGGCGTTCAGGGAGCTCTCCCCTTGAAGTGGGCAGGGGCCCGTGCACCCAGCTGTGACCCTGCACGAGCACAGGCAAACTAAGCCGCGTTAGTGTTATGGACGAGTCCTTGGGTAGAGAGCACTGATCAGGGTTGGACAGTAATGCAAGCTTAGGGGTGAGCAAATGGTTTGAGAGAGCTTCGCTTCTGAAAATCAGGCAGCGCATCCTCAGCTGCAGGTGCTGTCCAAAATGCCCTCGGGCTGAGATCAGCAAAACACAGCCAGGCAGCATCCATTGCTTGCTCCCTCCTTGGGGGTTGCTATTTCCCTAGTGCACTGGAAGTTATGTAGAGATGTGGAGTAATCCTGGGACTTACTGGAATTTCTGCCACTGAGAACAGGGCAGAGATCTGGATAAAGGTCCTTGTATCTTTTTTTTTTTTTTTTTTTCAGTGCACACTCAAAGCATAGGAAAATGTCAAACTGTGAAGCAGAGTAGTACAGTAGTACCGCTAAGTTTCAGTTACTAACCAGGCCTGGATTCACCGCTGATTACTTTGTCAGCAAAATAAAAAGGTTGCTCAGGGCACTGACAGGATATGTGGCTGAGAAAGCGCCTTGCTGAGGGCTTGTCAGTCTTTAATTCTGATCTGCAGTTAAGCACTTTGCATTCTGGCTTGCGAATATCACAGCGTGCTCTTGGAGCTCTCTTGCCAAACCACAGTTATTTGCAACATTTCATTACTCCAGCATTTTCGTACTAAGGGAGAGTTCACAGCTCTCTTTCGGTTCTGCATGTCTGCTGACCTTTCACTTCAGACCTTTCGGTGGCTTGGTAGCAGAGCTGTGAGTGTGGGTGTACTCCCACAGTTGGGTCTGCAGGGAGGTTTAGGTAAAGCAAATCTGGCTGTGCAGTGTTTCAGTCAATGAATGCAGTGTATTTCGATTGTTTTCAATCTGCTAACAACACTGAACAGGACTTCTAAAATATATTTCTAAAATATGCTGCACCATGTACTCTGACATGGTGAGAAGAGATTTCTGGATTTTTTTTTAATTTTGAGCTGTTCATGTATGTATGGAGTGGGGCTTTGGTTAGAGACAAGTTCAGCAGAGGATGATCATACAAATCCTTACTCAGCTAAGTAACTCACTGAAGTGCTTCCAAAGTTTCTGTTGACTTCAGTGTAATCACTTGCATGACTGTGGAAAGGCACCCAGAGAACTAGTTGGCATTATCAAGTGAACCAGTGACAAAACATGCCTTTAAATTCAGCAAGGGACACAAGATGTCTGACATTTTATTTTGAATTTGTAGTAGAAGAAAATGACCTATGCCTACTTTAGAGAAGCTGTTTGCTATAGGCATATACCCCAGCATACTATCCAAATGTAGCCATTTGTTTGGGATGAGGTGATCTAAGCTGAGCAAGAAAGGGTGAAAATGGGGATAGAGTATTGTTCTGGCAGTACTCTATCCCTTGTTGTGACTTCAGGGACATCCATGGTTGCTGCTGTAAATTTAAATGCCGCATGACCTGTAGTTTATGAGAATGTGTGCATAAGGGACCTGAGTAGTCTGGTCGACAGTATAATCCATGGCAGACTGATCACAAACAGCTCTTATTTATGACAGTGACCTGATTCTAGACAGAATATTGCTCTAAAAGTGCAAACTGGATACAGGGAGATGGAGAGGGAAAGGGCCCAGTCACAGTGAGCTACTGACTAATGATATCAAATGAAGAATGACACTTCTAATGCTTAGGCTCTAGAACATATGAACCTTAATATCTGGATTTTTTAGATTTATTTTGTTGTTAGATTAATTTATCATTCCATCATGATAACTCAGCTGAAACCAGCAACTGCAGAACGCAACTATGAGAAGGGTTTGTCTGTTCGATGCTTTCAAAGTCTCAAATATGTTATGTTCTTTTTTCTTTGCACTGCTAAAGGTTTGTCTTCTCAGATCTTCAGAAAATAATGCTAACATTTCTGCATTGATTCTGCACTGTAAACATGAGATGCATGCTACATACAGGTGTAAGTGGTAAAATCATGGAACTAGTATCCATTAGTGATGGTTATATTTGCACTGCATCCAAATACTACATTTGCTGCCATCTTTCATGACTCAAGAATTAATCTGAAGGGACTACGGCTGGTGGGTATGACAACAAAAATTAATCTGTTGATTATCTCTCATTTGGGAGACTTCTAAATATTAACAATAAGCAAGCTGGTTCAGATCATTGCTCCACGTTTTCAGCTGTGAGAATTTCATGAGACACTGAGTTTTCTTCTAAGAAATATTCCACTCTTACAAGAGGTTTTTGAATGTCTTGAACTCAGATAAACTCTTACATAAGTAATAATATCTTTTGACAAATTCCTCAGATCTGTTTAATGTGTATGAAGAGGGTCTGCTTGTTTGGACTCTGGCTTCACAAGATCCACTTTATGGCCATCTGTGCCTGTTCTGGAAAAGACATTGAACAGCAGAGCTCCCTCAGTCCATACTACTTCTGAGTTTGTCAGCCTCTGTCCCGTATCCACACCCACCCTGAATGCAAGAACTAAATATACTCTCTACCCTCTCCTTTTGGCCAGTGGCAAGACCTTCCATTTTATTTCATAGACTCTTAGAATCATAGAATGGCCTGGGTTGACAGGGACCCAACGATGGCCTACTTTCAACCCCCCTGCTATGTGCAGGATCACCAACCACTAGACCAGGCTGCCGGGAGCCACAGTTTTACAACTTCCTTTTTAAAACTTTCAGATTTTCCTTAAAAATGCTATCAAGCAGTCATTCTTTTCTACATGTTTATAAGGCATGGCGTCTGAAAGTGGAACGCATATGCTGGTGCTACACAAGTTGCTTTTCTGACAGGATTTTGCTCTTGGTTTGTGTGTAAGATGAATTATTTCAAAGTTTATACCTGCCAGTATGCTGTTGTCAGTGGTACTGCCCCAGCAGATGGTCTTTCAGATACAATCCCACATTCTTCTCAGCTGGGCTTTGAATTTCAGTCTGTGTAGATCATATGTCTCCGAGGTGGATGGTTTCCTACATCTCTGGCTTCTCTGCTATCTAATCTTTGGGCTAAAGCATAATTTCTTTCCATTTATGCTCACTTCCAGCTCCTTCAAACCTATTGTAATTGAGCTCAGCAAGGAGTGTACATCAAGAGAAAGAACTAGAAGAGATAGTCTCTCATCATGCAATTTCAACACAGCAGGGGGAAAAACGGCCTTCTGTTGTATGTTGGGGTAGTCATTGGTTTCAATACATGTTTTATTTAAACTGAGGTTGATTTTCATTCTTTCTACTTGTTCTACAAGTGTGTATTTCACTCTTTTATAGATTTCCCAAATCCCGAATGAATACTATTCATCTCGTGTTGCACAATTTACTGTCATTTTTTCCTGATGTAACACTGAAACCTGGTACATGAACATAAAGAAACCCACTGTGTTTCTCTTTAGATGCTTGGCTGAAGATTAGTATTTTGTGGTCAAGCTTTAAGAAAAATTGGGTTTTCTGAAATGTCTAGATTTCTTTGAACTAATGCTCTTAGGGCAAATCAAAAAGGCCAGCTGTTCTTTAAGGATGAATGGGGGAAGGGCTCTTAGTCAAATTAATTGAAAGAGGATTCTGTCTTTGAAGATAAACTATTTTTTGAAGGGGAAACTTTGTTTTTAAAACAAGTTTTGACTGTTAAATTTTCTAAAAAGGGCAAAATACTTTAGGCAAAATAACCAACTAAATTCATAAGAATAGTATTGCTGTATTTCTGAACTGCCTTGTTTCTCAAGAAGGGAAATTGGTAGAGGAGTTTTCCAAGCAAAAGTTTTAACTTGGAACAGGCTATTTTATTTTATTTTATTTTATTTTATTTTATTTTATTTTATTTTATTTTATTTTCAGTAATGCATTCATAGTATTAAATAATTAGGTCAATGTTAAGGCATGCAAATAAGTCTATATGATACTTAAAAGTACCAGAAATTCCCACCCTGTACAGAGGACTCAAAAGCATTTTAGGTACTCTGCATGTTTAGTATAGATATCTGCAGATGGATTTAGTTACATAATACTAAATTTCAAGATCAAACATTTTGGAGAAAAATCAAAATTAGAAATATGTGAAATGGACATACACCAAAATAATAAAAAGTAATGTTGTAACATATTAAAACATTCAGATTTAACTGTGAGAGTTTCAGGGCTGTTTTTTTGCTGTTGTTGTTTTCTTTTTTAACTACACATTAGTGTACTTTTAGTGATCTCTTCCCTTGTTATAATCTGCATTAGACAAAGGTACTTTATGAGAAGTAATGTTACAATGGAAGATTCATAAAGAAACCAGTTCTCAGAAATGGTTTACAAAGACATTTTCCCTCTCTTTCACTCTTTCCAGATTTTGCATAAGCATCACCAGTTCACTCAGAGCAAAGGCTGTCCTGCTTAAGGAATGAAGGGTATTCAGATCTTCAGGATACAGTAAAGCTGTAGACAGCAAAAGACACTTTCATTTCTTGCAGTTTCATTTTAGTTAGCTTCTTCCTCTATGGGTTGGGACACAGTGTAGGAGCCAAACGTGTTTTGAGTCATCCATCCACCAAATCATACTTGATACTACAGGAGTTCAAAGGGGATTTACTCAAAGCTGCACGTCAGAATCTGTGTGATCAATGTTTCCATACCAGCCCTCCTGGAGAAACCTGGTTTTCCATCACTTCCATCATACCACTTTGGACAGCTTTTCAACATCACTTTTAAGTAGAGCTGATTTGATAAAAAAGAAGCATGTCAGAGGGGAAATCTCAGTGCTGTAAGACCACAGCTGCTTTATTTTAGTAACAGGTGGAAAGCTGTTCTGAAGAGCCTGCAAAATAAATGCTTTCTGAACAAATTACACTGAAGAGTTTTTAAAATGTTACAAATACGGAAAATCTTCAGGGTTTTTTTCTTCCTAGTACCAGTTTCTGACTCTGACACACTGAGAGTATCTACTTATTCTCTGTTTATTTCACTTCCTGGAGAAGTAGTTAAGTTCCATGAAGCTCACCATCAGGAACTTTTAAAAATAAATAACGTCCTGCAGTTATTTAAAAGTCTGGCATCACTCCAAAGCACAATCAACTCATTTGGAGTTTTCAAATATTGACAGTGAAGGTGCAATGTTTAGAGTCTCAGATCTTATTTCAGTGTTTACTTTGCCTTACAGAAGAAGAAATATTTTTAAATTTTATGACCATTTGAAAGGGTGCTTTGGCTTTATCTGGAGAGATGAATTCAGGGAGGGGAAGATTTCTTACATTAAAAGGAATTGTTTGAATCTGCCACATCACTTTTCTTTGATTCTACAAAGTACTGTTACCTACTGGATTCAGTAAATCAAGCAGAAATAAAAGTGTAGTTTTTTCCTTTAAATCCAGATAATGATGTGAAAGTGTAAGTGTAAGAGTAATACCAATACTATGTTAGGGAAAAAAAAGACATTGTTAGACATAATATTAACATGTCAAACATTTAAACAGGGTGGAAATACAAACGTAATAGAAACTGATCAAATGAGTTGAATCTTTCATTGTGATCTGTCATAGTTGCTGATGAGTTGTGCATAAACAAACTCTTCAAAATCTTCCATGTAAAGTATATATATTTATAATCTAATAGTGCTACAATAAACAACAAGGCTTATTGATCAGAAATATCTGAGCTATCGCAACAATAACACATTCTGTCCAACAACTTTGTTCAATTTAACTGGTTATGTTAAAGAAGCAGGCATTTTCACTTTTCCAATCTTCTAGCCATGGATTCGATAAAAACACTATAAAAATTAAAGAAAATGCTTGGCTAATTTTTAATATTAGTCTTCTAACATCTACTCTGAGCACTCTGCTCACTGTTGTACCAACAGCTATCCAAGAGGTACCTTGAAAAGTTAAGATTATTCAGTGCAGTAACACCATGGGAAATTTATATATAAAATTGTACTGGTGGTTTTGTAAGTGGCAGCGAGTTGCAGGCACAAGAGCGAGGGGAGCTGTGTTGTTCCTCATTCAGTCCTGGGACCTCCCACCCTTTTGTGAGGGTGTGCCATTATTTATCTCCAAAACCTTGTCAGACATCTCCAAGAATGAGGGTGCCTGCTAGCAACAAATGCTCATTGATTCCCCAGCATGCCTGGGGAAGGGCAGCATTTATCTCTTGCCCTACGAACTGTGCCAGTTGCAGCAGTGGCACTACAGGCTGAGCCTGACAGACTGAATGTCAGCTGCTCTGTAACCCACTCCAACAGCTGTGCATTTCATGCACACGGGACAGCAAAGAGGCTTGTGATTCCTTGGCAAAGGGGAAATGGATTCTGTCAGCAGACTCTGAGGGACTGGCAGTGGCAGAAGAAGGGTGGCATCAGCCAGACCGTTGCCTACTGCCCATCAGCCCTTTGCTCTCCTTGTCCTCCTGCTCTCTGTCTCTGTGTCACACTGCCCCTCTTCTCTGTTAGCATTGGGAGCATGGAGATCAGCAGCTCTGGTGCTGCTGGTTAGGAGCAGGCCCCACAAGAGAGCCCTGCCCGGGGCTGCGCACCCACCGGGGCAGCTCCCTGTCCTCGTGGCCATCGCCAGCTCTCCCCCTCCCCAGCACTGCCAGGGACAGCCCTCCCTGCTTCCTCAGCAGCAGAAAATGAACTGGGTGGGTGGCAGCCGGTGAGTGAAACTCTTCAGGGCCGCCAGAAATGGCTCCATGCCAAGCAGCACAGCTCTGTGTTTCAGGCCTCGTGTCCCCTCAGAGACCTGCAGGGCCACGGCATGGCCTGGCATCCCCTCAGAGACCCGCAGGGCCACGGCGTGTGGCACCCCTGTGTCCCCTCACAAACTGTGCATATTTAAGATTCACTGAAATATTTTAAAAAATCACCTATGGGTTGATAACATTAAAAAAAAACCAGCATAATATTCAGTTTCTTTGGGTCCTGTACCTCTTACCAGTCAGAATTTTAACCCCTACTGTTTTTGTCATTTGAAAGTAGCTTTGGTAAACACGGTTTTATACTCATCCTGACAGCATGTGCAGAATCCAACTAAAATAAAGCCTTACGTATCTGTAAGGCTCTCCAGACAAATGGAGTTTCTGAAAGCTGCTGCAGAGGGTTGACCTGGGCTGCTTGTCAGGTGCCTGCCTGTGTCACGCTGCCACACGGAGAAAATGTGAAAGGAAAACCTTGTGGCTTGAGATAACAGCATTTCTTTTAAAAGAAAAGGAAAGTGCATGTTAAATCAAAGGGGAAAAAAATGAACTATTCTGTACTCCTATCCATGGACAATGTCTAGCCACTTGCTGGGAAGTAAGGCCTCAGCATGAGCAGCAGTTGCTTTGGAAGATTTGCCTTTGTATAAATGTACACCCCTGCCTACACCCCCACAATCTTTCTCCTGTGTTTTATTGACATCATAAGGTATGGAATAACCCTTTGGTAGATTTGGGTAAGATCCTGTGGCTGTGTTCCCAACCCACCTCTCACCCACCTGCAGCCTATGGGTTGGAGCCAGCTCTGATGTGGTGCCAGCGCTGCTCAGTGGTAGCCGAAACATCTCTATGGTGTCATGGCTGCTCTGGCAACACGTGCAGAGCACAGAACTATGTGGTATATAGCATATACACACATATAATTTATATTTATGTACTTTATTTGTGTAATTATATGTAAATTTATATGCATGTGTTCAGAAAGAGCGTGGGTCCTTTCCAACTCAGGATATTCCATTCTGAGTGCTATAAATTTGGAGATAGTATTAAAAAAAAGAAAAAAATAATAATTCCGAGGATCTATTCCATATTTCTAACCATTACATAAATATGCAACTCTTACTTGACCCAAACATTGCACCCATATTCAATGTGTTCACAACAGTGACCCAGAACTCCTATTTTAAGCATGGTGTCCTTCAACCAATTGATTTAAAACTATGTTTAGCAAGTAGTTAAGGTATAGCTGTTTGCTATATAGCACAAACAACAGCAGCTTAATACAAGTTGTATTGACAACCTCTTTAATCTCTCTTATTTTTTTTCCTAATGTTCACAATATGCCATAATGTCCTGAAAGGCAGAAAGGTGCGATGTGCTCTTTTGCTTTCTTTGTTAATGTGGTTTTGTAACTGTGTTGCAGCGTGAAATTGAAAATTAGAATAAATATTGACAAAGATTTCTTGCTGTGTTTTAAAAGAAGTGAAGATTTGATGAATTGTTTCATTGCAAGTTAAATACCTGCAAGTTTTTCCTTCTGAATGTTCAATGTTTTATATCCCTGAGACAGAATGGGACATAGCCTTACTTAAGTAAATCAGGACCAGACAAAGTGACTTCATCAGAGTTATGTTGAGTTCGCTACCTCAAAGTTTGACCCATTATAGCTGAATTTGCTTGCAAAATTCTCAGTAGCATTTATGTAAAGCTCAGTCCACGACTCAAGGTTATACCTTTATAATTAAAACAATAATTATTTGCATCTTTCAGGAGCAGAGTCATACTAAAGCAGGAAAGGAGAAAGCAAAAGGTAAATGGTTCTAGCCACCATGGATTTTATGTTATGCAATTGATTGTGTTGTTTCACTGTGAAAAATCTTTCAAAGCAATAGGAGTGAGACACAGAACTGTAGCATAACACTTATGTGTTTTTGCCTGACTGTACTTAACTTTTAGAACAGAAGTCTTTTTCTAGGTTTACTACACTGAATTCCAGCAGCAAGAGGAGGGAGGAGGAGAAGGCATGAATGAGCAAATGAATGCTCCCAATTTAAGTTTTACTGAATTACTTCTGGTACTACATTTTGCTTGCTGAAGCAGCAGCTATTTTCAGTAGATGCTAACAGATTGGAAAGTTAAAGATTGTAATACAATATGTGGAAAAAAGTTACCAAAAACATGTTGGGTATATTAATCACACGTAATCTACAAGAAAATCCCTTGTCATGTAATTCAGGATGACAGAAGGAGAAGTTCAGAAGAAAAGCCTGTTCTTTTTTTGTCTTAGGGTCTTCAGTTTTTAATATCCCTCTTCTGTTTAAAGTAAAGATGTAACATTAATTTATTCATTTTTGGGGCTTGCTACTGAAGATTTTTGAGATGATTATTAATACTCCTACAAAATGGAGATTTTCTTTACTTAATGTCTACGAATAGAATTCCAGTGTTACACAGAATTTTCTTCTTGATATATTTGGAATTACAGTCATATTTCTTCTTGTTCCTTGCAACATAAAGCATTTCCAAAGTCCCAGTCATAGAGGTTTTTCTTCTTTCCCTTTTGTCTCTCTCTCTCTTTTTTTTTTTTTTTTTTTTTGGTCACAAGACCCTATTTATTGCATCAAGCAAGAGAAGTTTGAAGAACAAGACACCCTTTGTGTCAATTTAGATGGCCATGACTGATAATCTTGCTGATTTATTTGCCTGCTGGTTACTATAAGCTGCCTAAAAAACATGGGCTTAATTTTTTTTAAAGACTTCTTTTCCTTGCAGGATTTTGAGATGTCTTTTACTTTGAAAAATGCTTTTAATGATCACATACAGAAGTTGAGATGCAAGTATATAAGGACTAAGTTTTTTGCATCGAGAGAAAAAGAACCTATTTTGAATATCACAGAATCAGAGAATCAGAGAATGATTTGGGTTGGAACAGACCTTAAAGCCCATCCAGTTCCAACCCCCTGCCATGGGCAGGGTTGTCACTCACCAGATTAAGGCCTCATGAAGACTCAGAGCCCCATCCAACCCAGCCTTTACACCTTCAAGGATGGAGCATCCACAGCTTCTCTGGGCAGCTTGTATGAGTGCTTCGCTACTCCAAAAGGAAAAAATACCTTGTAATATCTAATCTAAATCTCCCCTATTCTAGTTTAAAACCATTTTCCCTTGTTCTGTCATTATCAGATCATGTAAAAAGTCAGTCTCCCTATAGTTCACAAGCTCCATTTAAGTTCTGGAAGGCTGCAATGGATTCTCCTTAAATATGACCAAATTATACTAGAATTACTTTTCAAAATAATATAAATAAATCAAGTTACAATAGACTGAGTGTGTGAATTTGGAAAAATTTAAATGTGTTTTTATTTATAAGAATTGCATCAAAATATTTATATATTCCACTGAAGTGGTACGAAGGTGCTGTCAGAAACTTATTCTCTCTTTTAATCTCTCTTAAAAAAAAATAGGAATTCTTTGAGAAGAAAAAACTCAAATCAAAGATGAAGCTTCTGGGAGTATCATCTCCTAAAAGTTCAGCAGTCAGCTTAGATCTCCTCAATCTGTATGTTGTTAACCAGATATCGACCAAAAAAGACAGCACTGGTGAGTTTGTGGTAACAGTGCTCTGACCTCATTGCTAACAGAATCACTTTTATTATCACTGCTGTTATTTCTTTTTCCATTGTGTTGAAACTTAATGCTTAAATAGTCATTTATTTAAAAAATAGAAAATAGCGATTAAATGCGACAGTAATGACTGAATAAAAAGTGAGGACATAAGAAAAATCAAGTGACCTATTTCAGCTTTATAGCCTTGCACGCTTATGAATTTCCCTCATGCCATGTATTAATTTTACCCTACCTCCACTTCTTTTTCCCTTTGCCATTAAATCGGACCATTTATATAGTACAGTATATGGTACATATAGTACAGTAACTTCTTTTTCTTTCTTTTTTTTTTTTGGTATTTGGAATAGAAGGTTTGTTCTGCCCACAGTATCTTTGTTACAATCTGTCATTAAGCTCAGCTCAAAATCTCTGCAACTTGAGTTCTAACTCTTATCTTCTGTGACATCTTTATAAACAGGACTGGGGCACAGTTGCTGTCCTGTGCTCAGAAAGATTCGAAGGTGGCTGATTAGGGCAACAGAGCCTGTCCACAGACAGCAGTTGCCCCACAGTTTTGTGCTATGGTGCCCATTAGAATAGAGCTCTTACATTAGTGGTAAGAAAACAAAACAGAAGTTTTAAATGGATAAAGCAGTTTGAGAAACCCAAACAACATCTTTGGTACTGTAATGAAAAAATTAGGGAGCTCAAAGCTTAGTCCCTACGTCCAGTGCTGACCTTCCAAATACTTTCACCACAGGCAACCTGAAAAAGCCAGTCCATGTTGATATAACTGAAAATGTAAAGGCACCTTTTAGAAGGAACAACCTAGAGCTTCCCAGGTCACCATTACGAAACCAATTTACAGCACACTTAGATGACATCAAGAACAGGTACTTGTTTAAAACAGGCTGTAATTAACGATCATAAAGTTCTGTGAAAGGTGTTTCACAATTTATTTTCATTTGATTTCTAAAGAAGTTAAAAGGAGTTACTATTGCAGTACAGATCTACCTTGTGTGTATTTATTAACATGGATGAAAGCATGTACTTTGGTGGCAACAAGATAACTGGGAGAAGGGGGTCTATGCTAATACAGTAGCACAGGAGCATAGAAAGACTAATCTGAAACTGGTTGGTCTCTTGATCTTTTGATCAGCGGATCCCTTTTACTTCTGTGCTCATGAGTGTCTTGCCTTGAAAAGACTGAACAAATATTTATCTGGGGTATTAAGTATGCCTAAATATCCATTGGTAAGACACTGTTTTCATGACTGCTTCTGACATTCCAGGGATACTCTAATCATCAGAGTAAGGAAACATACTCTAAACTCAGAGCTGTACACAAAGTTCAGAGCTTTAAATATACAGATGTATTACTTTATTCATGTCATGTTGTTCGTACACTGAGTTCCTCTCACAGAGCAGACTATTCAAACAGCATTTTCTACTCACATTGTTTGCCATCCAATTTCAGGCATGCTTAAGTGACTGACTTACAGACCGGCTGCTCAAAATTGCATACAAATCAAGGGTTTTTTAAACATCTGGAGAAATACTGTTAAATTAATTTGAAATTAATACTCTGGTTAGGAAGTTTTCAATCTTACAGATCTTACATTTCAGAGGCTGTTTTTATTCATTTTACAAGGTTACAAGAGCAAGTACTGGACAGCAGAAGGCAGCATCTCTTAGAAAAAGAAAAATACCAACATCAAGTAAGTTTATTGTTCTCAGTGATGTCAAGTTAAAAATATGTAGCAATGTTTTTTTTAAGTGGTTTTTCATAGTGATCAGATTTAATGAGTACTTACATGTGTAAAGGCTTATTCTTTAAGACTACACTGATGTGTTAATGGCCAATCATATTTCATACTTTTTTTTTCCTGCTATTTCTTACAAGTATTATGAAAAGCTCCACTTGTTTTGGGCGTTTTCCAAAACATTTAAAAATACCTGTGCTCTGAACTAGTCACAAAGGACAGATTATGGGAAAGAGACTAAGGCCAACGTATCAGAATATATGAACATTTTTTCTTGAACGTGGTATATCTGAAAAGAGATGTAAAAAGTTTAGAAAGGTTGGATCCTTTTCAGCTATGCTTAGATGATAACAATGTTAGATAAATCAAATCTCTTTGCCATCTCTTATCTAGTTGACACAAGTAACAGAATTTACTTACGCTGAATGTACGGAACGTGAAGACAACACAGCAACAACTTTTAGCACCTGTCCATTGTCCCCTTCTATTTTTTGGTCCTCTAACTGTGCACAGTTTTCAGAAGAAAATTTCAGTGCAAAACTACTGGGTGACCCTTGGGAGCAGACTTATGAAGATAAGCTAAAGAAACAGGTTTGATTAATATTTTATTACTTTCTCTATTTGAGGCATAAAATTAGCAATATGTTGAAGATAATGATTAACAAGAAAAACTTCTAGGCTGATGGCAATGAATGCTCCATAAATACATATGTATTTCTTTTACTGGTCTGGAATAGATTTAATTGAGCCTTTGTTCACTGAGCTTTCAGTACTGTTGGTATCTGCACAAAGATTACAGTAGTGAGGACAGCTTCTCAGTGACAAGAAATAAACAAATGTTATGTATATGCAAAAACCAGGAAAGTACTAGTTTATCAGCCTCATCTCTGTCCTGAAAAGATTATGGAACCTCACCTCCTGGATGCTGTTTAAAGTTCTGTGAAGAACAAGAAAGTGTTTGAGAGAAGTCAGCATAGGTTTACCATGGCCATGCTATGCTATGCCTGACCCTAATTCTGTGATGAAATGACTTGCCCTGTGGATAAGGAACAGCAGTGGATATTATTTACTATGGCCTTAGGAAGGCTTTTGACAAGATTTATTGTGGTATCTTAGTAGCCAAAGCAGGGTGGTATGAACCAGATGAGTGGGTGACAAATTGGGTAAAAAAATCATCTGTACCATTTTTCTGAAAGTCCATGGGCTAAAGTCTAATTGGCAACTGGTCAATAATGGTAGGATGCCCAGGGTTTGGTATCAAGTCTGATACATCTTATCAGATACAAGACAGATTGCACCCACAACATCACAACAGGTTCATAAATGAAACCAAAAATTGTCAGTGGTCATTACAGTAGCAGGGCTGCTATTCAGAGGCATCCTGTGAATCTGAAGGCTGACAGGAACCTCATAAAGTTCAACACAGAGAAACGCACGTCTTGCACCTCAGAAGAAATAACCCCACGTATCTGTGCAGGTGGGGATTTGACTGAGTAGGCAGCAGCTTTGCAGGGAAGGACCTGAGGGTGCCAGAGGATAACAAGTTGTACTTGAGTCAGCAGTGCATCCATGTTGCAGGAAAGGCCAGATAAATACAGGGCTGTGTTAGAGAGAGTTTATCCAGCACTCAAAGGCGAGTGATTATTCCCCTCAAAAAACCAACCAACCAACCAAACAAAAAGTGTTAGAACACATCTGAAATACTGTGCCCACTTTGAGTCCCCCCCAGTCCAAAAGAGAGATCAACAAACTGGAGGAAGACTAATGGAGGGCCACAAAAATGTCAAGGGGATTGGAGCTCCTGATGAACGTTGAGACTGAATGAAGAGGGTTTGCATAGCATGGGTAAGAGAAGGTTTAAAGAGAATGAGGAGGGGAACTCGTTGCTGTCTTCCAGAATCCAGGCAGCACGGAGCCAGAGATTCCCCACGTAATGACAAGTAGTAAAAATCACAGGTTTAAACACTGGAAATTCTGCTTGTGTAGAAAAAGTTGTCACAAAAGTAGCTGAGAACCAAAATCGGTCATCTCAGTCCTGAACACATCTGAGCAATCTGGACTGAAGCTGGCCTTGCCTTGAGGGTGGGTTAGTTTCCTCTCAGAGCCTTTCCATACAATAGCATTCTACGGTTTTGTCTTCTGCAGTCAAGCATCAGCTTGCTACAGTCTATCCAGCTTGCTGAAATGATGGGGGCATGGGATACTTATAAAGATGTTTTGCATGTTAGCAGTGACATGCAAATACAAAGAAGTATGAATTGTACAGAGCTCGCTTGGGCGGTAATGTCTTGGCCTTTACTGGAAAGATAAAATTGAGGGAAAATAAGTAAAAGAAACTAAGATAGCAAATGTGTATATTGTTTGCAAACCCAATTTTGAATTTTAAAACACTGCAACTATAGATTCAGAGTTTTATAACTTGGACCATTTTCTCAGTCAAGAACTATTTCTGAGCAAGACCCTTGGATTTCAAATCACTCAAGCCAATGTATTTTCAGGAAGTCTGACACAGAGCCTCAGGATCTACTTACGCCATCGCACAGGTAGGCTGCCTTCCTGATTTTACATTAGAGAAATAGTTACCATTAAGTTAGAGGAATACTAAAATCATCTGAAATTTATTTCCACGTGATTTTTCACTGATTTCTAGTGCTCTTGAATAGGAATTGATATCAAATAGAAAGACTGAACAAGCAAAGCTATTAAAATTTGCTGAAAGACAGTAAAATGTCTGTGTGATTTTGGTAGGCTTTTGGAACCATGGTCTACTTTTGTGGTGTTGTAAACAGGATGGTATTTTGTAATTCATCCAGAAGCATGGATGTAGCAAGGGGAATGGCTAAGAGAAGGGGAGCTGCTGGCACTCTCATTAGTTCTGCTCTTGGTAACCAGTGATGACCCCGATGCCTCAGCACTTCACTTACATTACTTACATTGAGGATTCCAGGGAAAAAGTATTTACTCTCCTATTTCATGTGCAATTCTGCTGTAGCTTTTTAAAAATCATCATTATTTCATAATTGATTAAAAACACTTCTGTAAGAACATAAAGGTATGGACAGAATACAAGAGAATGAACAGAAGCTTTGAATTGATTTCTCTTGCATGTGCTGATCACGAGTTTTTTCAATCACGGAGGATTTAAGGCCAGACAAATCTGTTCTGTTTGTTTCCAGGAGTTCTTACCACCTATCTAGGGGTCTTATTTTCCATTTTTCTTTTTATTCTGTAAGTCTGCTCAAGGTTGCATCAATCTCTAGATGTAGATGAGGTAGAGCCAAAAAAGGTTATCTATTACCTGGCTGTTCCTGGGTCCAGCAGCTTGTTTACCTGGGGCACCAAGGCACTGATTAGCTACTGATGATGTGATACAAGATGGACATATGAGCTTCCACTCTTAGCCACCTGAACATTCCCTCTCCTCATGGATTTCACAGTTTCTCCAGCAAAGCCCAAAATCAGGATAGCATTCACCTTGCCATATATCTTGGTAACTTCCTGATGAATATCTTGGTGTTAAAGCCCTATGTAACCTTACATTGCCTACATCTCCGTTCTAATTTCTCCACAGACTCTCAGGCTTGCTCTCTGCTTATGACACCTCCCACAGCCTCTGCCCATTCACGACTCACTGACAACATTCCATCTCCTTTTCCAACAATTCGTCTGATCCATTTTTGTGTTTTGTCCATGTTTTGTTGTCATCCATTACACTCATTAATTCTTTTATCTCAATACCTGTCAGTTCTCCTAGAGAGGGAGTTTCTTTTGATGTGTACGAGAAGTATGAACTTATACAATCATTTAATGAAAATGTAATGATGTAAGAACTGTGCACCGACCTGTGACCCTTCACGGTCATTAAATGTTGACTAAAAATGTAGATATCCTCTATTTTTCCCTCTGTGTCATACCTGTCCATTTCCTCATCTTCAATTACCTTTTACATAGCATTACAAAATGTTCAGCAAGAGTGGAGAAGGTGCCTCTGTATTGCACCACAAAATGTTTTTACCTTCCTCACTTGACTGCATCCAGGTTTCTCCCAAAACAAACTCCAGTGTGATTATTCTTTTAAAACTAAGGCATGGGTTTTACACAAGTAGAGGGCACCACTTTCTCCCTTAAGTTCCCTAGGATCTTTTTCCAATTCCAAGCGTTTTCTGGTCAAGACATTACAGAATTTTTCTTCACAGTTTTTACTCTGGTACATTTCCATTTTCAAGTTCCATTGATAGCACTGCTCTTTTAGTTAATTTATTTATTTTAAAATAAAAGGCATGTTTTGTATTCTCTGTGTCCCAGAAAACTCTTAACTCTCTGCTCAGATCTTCAGAAAGGTCACTCAAGAGATCAAGCTTAGAAAGAAGTGGTAAAAAAAAGCTAGAGTAAGATTTAAGTGAGTGCAGGACAGCTTTCATGCTAATGATAAGCATGATAGCATCTTCAAAAACACTGTTATGAGAAGAAGGGGAGGAAAGTATGGGCAAAACAAAATGTCTAAATGATCTTCTAACTCTAGATCAGAAAAGTTCTGTGCTTAAATAGGGTTACTGAGCAATGCTACACAAGAAGTCACTGCTAAAGAGACCAGGAGTGAAACAATGCATGGATCTTACTGCGGGCTTTCAGCACAGGAGTGGACTGTTCAATTTCTTTTGACAGATCAAAGAAGCTGTCAAGCTGTCATCCTCTTTTTTTCACTCCTAATCCACAGTGTTTGGTCATTTGAGTGGAGCAGCAGTGACATACTGTGGTTGGTTTTATAACTCACAGTTCCCTACTGAATGTGATGACATGCTGCGTGTCTCTGTGCGTTTGGAGACGCAGTGAAAGAGCCCTGCTTAAATCAGCCTTACTGCACGTGCAAATAAAACACAGGACACTCATTCTGTGGCAGTAACATGCATTCAGAACAGAAGCAAGTGTGTTGAGCAGTGAAGTCTTTGAAATTTTGTGTCAATTTGATAATCTGTAGAGTTAGCAGTTAGGATTTTGCTTATTTGTATACAAAGCAAGTTATATTTTTTTTCTCCCCTCCTCCAAAGGCTAGACTATATGAATTCTGCCAGGAAAGACCCAGTGATAATGGCCAGTAAAGAATCAGAAAGCACAGAAGGAATAAAAGAACTATTGTTTGGTGTCATGAAAGAAACTGCAGACCTGAGAGTTCCTCAAGATGAAACTGATTGTCCTTTTCTGGCCCTGTTTGGAGATGAGAGCCAACCAATCTATAATAATGCTTCCACAAAGCATTGTCATCCTTTTGTTAACCAAGACACTGCTCCCGTTTTTCTCATTGATCCCGGTGATAGAAATCAAATGACCAACAGAAACTGCACATACAATGGTGGAGAGGCTCATCCTGCAATTCATGCAAGAAAAAATTCCGTAGACAGACACCGTAAAGGGCTTCTCACAGCTCCAGAACAGGTTTTATGTGAAAACAACAACGCACCATTTGCAAACTACAAGAGAAACAGCCTTCATAAAACCCACCTTCAGGGCTGTCATGATGGACAGCTGTACTTAATATCGCCTGGGAGCAAAGAGAAACCTTCAACATCTGAAAGAAGTGGTGAGTGTCAGCAAGTTCAGGATGTGCATTCTGTGTTTCATTCTCCTTTCAGTTGTCTCATGCTACTTTTTTTTTTTAATAAACAGATGTGTGTTTGCCCTGACCCAAAACGTGTTATCAATCTTTGCATTGCAGCAATACAATTTTAAATCCAGTTAGTGAAGTTACTTTTACAAGTTGATAGGAGTTATTTTCAAGCCATATTTATGCTTTTGCACTTTTAAATTGAGGCTTACTTTCTGATTCTAGAAACATATGGTTATTATCGTGATCAGCAGATTAATTTAAAGGAGAACATGCAGAACCATTCAAGAAATAAAAGGTGAGTGCAATAAAAATTGTCAATCTATTAATTAGTGATAGCTGCAGAGACCTTCCTGAACTGGAGAAATCCTGTCTAAGAGGACAAGGTGGCAAAAATTCTAAACAATGTTAATGAAGATCCAAGTTATCCCAGTGAAAATAATCATGACTAATGTGAATAAACTTATGTGCATGTAAGCTATTTGTTGTACCATTCTACAACTGCTTGGAATAACTACATAGGAAGATTCTTTGATAGAACAGCTCTGAGTCCCTGCAGGTGAGTTGTTGCTCTGATCTGACCTCTAAAACACCCTGGCCACTTCCATTGCCCACACAGCACATCAGTGTCTTCCCTGCACCAAACGTGGTGCATGTGGCATATGTGAGTGCCCCACGTTTTGCACTGAGGTGGTTTTGTCACATATCCACAGTCACCTCATGCTACATTCTACGAACACACAAACAAACCAAACAAAACTTAGAGATTCGAAGTCACTTACCAGAGAACTCTGCTTGCATCCCATAGAGATGAACCTGCGAAAGAATCGATCTGGAAACAGACCCAGCTTTTTGAATTAGAAGAGGTAACTTTTTATAAACGTTTTTGCATTACCTACTACCAGAGTGTTTACATCATTCGTTTAGAGTAGAAAAGAAGTATCCAGAACAGTTAGAAATTGAAATTACTTTATCTGAATTTACGTTTGTGGAATCTCCTTTTCTTTGTTGCTTTATATGGAAAGTCCAGAAAGAACAATTTCTAGTTAAATGGTTCAGTCTTTTAGTCTTTTAGGTCCATAATAGTCTGATTCACATGCAAGCTGATGCCTGAAATACATCTTACAAGGTACTCTTTACCCCACTTTATGATTCTGAGGCAGTGTCCAAAGACTGTATGGAGGATATTTCAGTATTGTAATGAAGTTTTCTGCCAGTATATACATAAAATCTCCTGTAGATGTTTTGCCCACAGCTGTACTGCTCAGGGGTTTTGTATTCCTTAACACAGTTTGCAGTGAACTCAAGGTGTACTCCTTCGTGTAGTAGAGAAACTGAATGTTCTTCACTTAATTAACCTGGGGCACTGATCCTGCTCACTCATTATTAATGCTTGTTTTTGAAAGTTTGCAAAAGCACAGCGGGAAGAGTACAACTCTGGAGTGAGTTCAAACCCTCACAGGATGGAGCAGGGTTAGTATCATTTGGATACCATTAGGTACACATCAGATTTTTTCTCTACTTATGAAAATGAAACTTACTTTTAAATCCAGGGAAAAGTATGTTCAACTTTTTAGGATGTTACATTTTATGAGCACTTCTATTTTTATTCACTAGCATTACCAGGTAGCTAAGTATTCACTTTCCCTTGAAGAGATAAATTCAGATTAACTTATGTCTGGTGAGTGTTATCCACGTGTTTTTCATTTGGGCCCCTTAAACTGCTAAGCCAGCTCTGAAAGTAGGGGGAGCTGCAAACAAACAAACTAACAAATAAATAATAATTCACCAGTGAGATCAGGTGTGTGTTTGTCTGAACACCATTTCTCATGTTTATGAACACTGGCATCTTGGAACAGTACGTAGCTGTATGGGTCAGCTGTTCCAGCTGCAGCTCAGAACAGATCTCCCAGGAGCCTCCCAGACAAAACACAGCCTAAAGCCCATATAGTTTGTATGGTAGCCAATACGTGCAGGGATTTTGCCATATTCTCTCCCTACCTCTGTCCTGCAGAACCTCTTGGGTAGCACAGCTTTGTTGCTAGTGCAGGCTGACAGCACAGCTGGAGCTTTGGGACACCCATCTCACACATTCAGTCATGATAATTTGTCTTGAGAGGAGGAGAACTGGGTATTACCATAACCCAATTTGACTTTGCTAACACTTTGTTCTTTAAATGATATCTTAAAACTGCTTCAGAAGTAGTGATCACGCTCAATTTTGCATGCTATAATTGGGAGCTGGATGTTTGGGAAATATTTAGTAACTTTTCCTTCTGCTGGAGCTCATTTTTCAGATGTGGAGTCACCACTCAGCAGCCCATCTCCCAGTTACTCTCCAAGACAGACAGAAAGCTGCCTCAGCTCCAGTCCTGACGTGGTGAGCACTGCCCTGAGTGGGTTTACAACAGATGGTTCGATGTACATTTCCCTAATTTAACAGACCTGTGGTCTGGTCTCTTGATAATGCTGAGCCTTGTGGAATTACAATAATGTGCCATGTTATGGGAAGGTGTCAAGGAAGTTTCTGCTCTCTTCCTTTACATGAAGGGAGGAAGATTTGGCGCTCTGTACATTCTCAGCCATTACTGAACACACACACACACAAAGGCCAAAGCATAAGAATAAATAAGAATAAATGCATGAGAACAAAGATCCTCCTCACCCACCCTCTTTTCGACAAAGGCAGCCCTCAAGAAAGAACACAAAAGGCCAGCAGAAAATTCTAGCCTTTCAATCGATTTCATAATTTATCTGTGAGTCAATTATTAACTTTGTACATAGTCACTGAACTGTTTTAACAGTTGCATTCACACAATTCACACTGTTCATACAGTCTGAAGAGGAAGATGCAGCCAGAAAGAAGAAATATGTGGACAAGCAGCACCTCCAGGCAGACAATGTCAACCTCATCTCAGCCTCTGAAAGCACAGAGCCCCTCAGGGCTTCTCATAATGGAGCTGTGCCTCCCCAGCCCGCCAGCAGTCAGGCTATGCAGGGAGACGGCCATCTTCAGCAGAAACACTGCATTGCACACAGCAGAGAGGGAAAGAAAGAGCGCGCCGCTCCACGGGAGGGCAGCTTGGTGCCCCAAACCCGTAAGAAAGCACAAGTGGTGCAGAGCGCGAGGTGCGATGTTTGGGTGCAGACCGAGAGCTCTGGCCCGCAGGCAGGGAAAGTGGATGCGGCCACGCAGTGTGACCCCACGCGGGTGTGCAGCTGTGGGCGCTCCCTGCCCGCTGCCCGCAGCCCGCAGGGGCTGCATCCTCCCGGCACCGCTGGAGGGCACAAAACGCCTGAGCATGAGGCACTGCCGCCCGCACGCAGCTCGGCGGGGACGGCAGCGCTCTCCTCTGAAGCCCGGTACCTCGCTTTGGCTGACGGAAGAACGCTAGACATTCTGAGCTACATTGATACAATGAAGGGGAGAGAAGACCAGCTGATACGGCATGGAAAGAAACAGAAAGAGTGCTTCCAAATTTTGTCCTGTTCCCAGTAGGTTTCATTTAACAGGTGTATTTTGGTTTTTCTAACCTGACTTGAAAAACTATCGTTTGTAGTCTGTTCATTCATAAACTACGGATCTCTGTCTATCAACTGCCATCTCTGACTTTCTGTAGATCTCAAACTGACAGCATAGGATCAATTTTATGATAGCTTAATAAACATAAACTTTAGGAACTAGATTTGCTTTCCCACTTGTAGGGTTCTGGAGTTTGAAGGTGACTTTGCTTCTTTTGAAAGGAGAGGAAAGATTCCATTTCACTTCAAGGCACATCTGATGTGACTTAATTCTCACCCATTTTAAGAGGCAAAGCAGTCTTTGGTTTGTACCAAATATCAAAATGGAAATATGAAAATGAAACAGAAAGCACACAGCAGCACACATAAAGTCAAATGCAATTTTGAAAGAACTAATTTATTCATTTTTAACAAAAAAAAAATCCCACCAAAGCCAAACAAAAATGTCAGCAGAAAGATTTAAACTTCTTCCCACAGCACATCTATGGATTCGTTCTCTGACTTCTAACACTGACAAATATTTTATGTGTTTCTATGTTTTGCCAGTGGGTTGAAAGTATGAAATAATTTCCTCCTCACTGCAGCATTAGCGTCAGGTTGCAAACAACAACAAATAAACGTTTCTGATAATATTCCCTCTGAGTTACGTTCTTTCCCTTTACAAAGATTCCCAGCAGAGGTGGCTCACTGTGCTGCTGCCGCCATGCACTTCTATATGCACAGCTCCTCACACACACGTGCAAAGCTGTGTCACGCAGCACAGGAGCCGTGCTGGTTCGAGGTTGGCACGTTGCACTTGTTCCCTCGGAGCCGATGTCAGCAGATTCACTGCCCTTATTTCCATGGGGTCAGCTCCTTTTGGTTCTCCATTCTGTAATAAAGGCTGCGTGGTTGTGGGTTGTGTCGTGCAGCGCTGAAGAGCCCCTTTGCCACTCTTCGTTCTTATCACCAAACCAGTGGCTCTATTTTCTGCTGGCTCCTGCAAAACTTAAAAAACTAGCAGAGGTTTTCGAATTGTTGAACAGTTTGCAGGTTTATGGCTGTGCCATTTTAGAAACAGCATCTCTCAGAAGCACCAGTGGGCTTCCCTTCACCCTGAAGAAAATAGTGTTTTCCCTTATATAAATAAATTGCCAACACAGGAAGGGATTTGCACAGCCAAACTGCTGCACTGTGTAACTATCATTTACCCAACTCGCCTCCCACTTCTTAAGGCTCGACATAAGCAGATTTTCTTTCTTAGCTTGCCTCAATTTATTGTCAAAGCAAGTTGCCATGTCATTTCTTAGCTGAAACTGCTGTGATCATCTTCTTCACAGGGGGGGATAATTTATCTGAATAATCCTTGTGGTTTGCCGAAGGCTCAGCAGTTCCCAGGGCTCTGTAAGGCACAGTTGATCACTCAGTGTTATGAAACTGCCACCCCAGCCCCTGCTGGCTCGAGGCAGGACATTTCTAGCACTGCCACAGCCAGCTGCTCTGCTCCTCTCAGCCTTTCTGGTACTGTGTGCCCAGCTCCATGGACTTACCGTGCTCCCCTTGCTCAGCCTTCCAGCCTACAGGCTGTGAATCGCAGATACCCCCAATAAAAGGGACCGCGAGGATCACAGAGTCCACACAGCACCAGCCAGAAGATAACTCTGTGACTGGAAGCAGTGCCCAAATGCTCCTTGAACTCCAGCAACCCGTGTCCGTGCCCAGCGCACGGTGTGATGCAGACCCTTTCCCTGACCCCCAGCTTCCCCTCCCCTGACGCAGCTCCATGCCGTTCCCTCGGGCCCTGTCGCTGTCACACAGCAGAGCTCAGCGCTGCCCCTCGGCTCCCTGCGAGGAGCTGCAGCCATCAGGCCTCCCCTCAGCTCCTCCGCTGTGGGCTGAGCAAACACAGGGAGCTCAGCCGTTCCTCACACACCCTGCCCTCCAGAGCCTTCCCCATCTTGACAGACCTCCAGTGGATGCTCTGTAACAGGGACAAGCCCTTCCTCACCTGCTGGCAGTGCTGGGCCTGGTGCACCCCAGGGTTTGGCTGCCCTTTTGGCTGCCAGGGGACTGGTAGCGCTGCACAGACCAGTGCGAATGTTTCAAATTAAGTAACACCTCAGTGAGCTCTCACATCTTCTACAACATAGAGCCTTTCACTGGCTGCAGCATATTTTCCCCACTGCACTAAAGCTGCTACCAAGAGGCTTTCAGTATCTGTCAGGTTGCAGCCAGTTTTCAGCCTGGATTCCAGTAAGGGTAGAAATTACGCAGCTGAGAGGCAGGCACACAGACCGGCTGTCTGCAAGAGCTGCACACATCTCTCTGATAGGGTAATTCACCGCTCAGAGTATGTCAATCAAAGTGGGCCTCCGTATTCCTGAGCAGGGAGATGAGAGCTTACAGAATCCAGTTACCTTACGATTTTACCTGTGATTGTGACCCAGCAGCAGGAATGAAGCAGTCTGTGCAGAGGTACGTGGGCTGGCAGCAGTGTAAATGAGGCAGCATATTCCTTTCAGCCACTGGAGAAGTATTTATGAGTATTTATGTGACTATCACTGTGTTAGAAAAGAACAGTGCTTCCTCTTCACTGCAGCGTGCCTCCCCCTGCGCTCAGGGGCCTTCTTTCACCTCCAACTTTTTGTGACTCTGGGGAAGTGTGGTTTAACAGGAGCCTGCTGGCAGCCTCCAGTCCTCACTGCTTCAGCCCATGCCTCAGCAGCTGCCGCTATTTATTCTCCAGTATTTGTTACTGCAGCAACGATCCCCACCCCACCATGCACTCCATGGCTTTCTGTGAGGCAGGGACATGGGCAGAGATGATCCTTTTTCGTTAAGTCACCTCTCCAGAGGTGAGCTGAGCCTCTGGGGGGCCCATGCAGGTGACATTGCTTAGCTATGCTCAGAGAAAGCAGATTATAAACCAAATTGTGCTGGAGAAGAGGTCCGAAGCGTACCTGTAATTAACCAAAAGACAGTGCTGGCCTTTGAACATTTTGAAACAAATATAGGTGCACAAACAGACTGAAAATGTGACCCCAAGCTTCAGTTTGAAGCAATCTTGATGTGCATTGGTACCCTGCTTTCCCTATAAGATCAGCTCTAATTGCAGTAACCTGCAGGGTAAGGAATCAGGCGAAGTTTCCTCGGGCAGCTTGGAGCCAGGTGTTACGGTGCCAACAGCCTCTGCGTACTGCATAGAAATCCTTATTCCATTTTCATGAAGGATTATCATTGTGTGAAATGAGAAGCTTAAGTCTCCATACGAGTAATTATTTCTCAGGTGGGAACTGTTTGTGAACTGCCTTTTTAATGGTTTTAGCAGAGAGCTGATTAAGGAAGGATGAGGTTTCCTGAGAAATGTATTGGCTCTCTGCACCCAAATCCTTGTCTATCCCCAGCAAATCCAATGACATTTCTGCTGCCATTCCTCAGCCTCTTTTCATCAGTAGCTTCTGACAAGCTGGAGGTGACTGTCTCACCTACTCGTGTCACAGCCACCCCCTCTGAGGCAGTGATACTGAGCTCCGGTGAGGTCCCGCAGCTCGATGAGTCAAAAACAAACCTTCCTCCCTCCTATCTTCCTACTCTGCTGCCAGTTCCCACCCTATGCCTTGACAGTCCCTGCATGGCATGCAGCCATTCTTGGGATGGGACAGCCAGGGGACAGCAGCCCACAGAGTGCTCAGTGCTGGTGCAGAAGACATCAGTGAAGGTAAGGCAGGAGGCTGCAAGAGAGCCACTGTATGAGAATTAAACATTTCCAGGCCAGCTGTGTTGGGTACGCTTGCAGTGAGAGGGCTGTGATTAATGGCAGCAGTGCCCCACTCAGCACACAGGGGTTGGCTTGGCTGCAGGACCCAGAGCTGTGGCTGTTGGGATGACAAGGCGATACATCACACTGCATGTGCTCTGTTCCCTGGAGTGGAGTAATTCTCCTGAAGCAGGATGTCTGCGGGGAGATTTGACCTCCGAAGAAGCAATGCTCCCTGCAAATGGGCACATTTTTGGAGCTCCTGAGATGGAAACGGGAGCTCATTGGCAGTAGTCAGATGAGTTGATGTCATCACAGCGTGAAAAGATGAAACCAAGTACCAATTTAGCAGCAGGGCTTCCTCCAGAGCATCACTCCCCACCAAGGCTGAGGCCGCCCGCTGCAGGGCCAATGGGGATGGAAACGCCCTCTACTCCGTGCAGGATGACTCGTTATGGGGCTGCCACCAAACGTCTCCTTCTGCAGCTGCTGCAGTGCCAGGTGAGTGGCAGCACTGAAACAGGCTGCAACTGGGTCAGTGGTGGTGTCCATTTTGGCAAAATGCACCAACTGTACCACGTCCATCTCTGTGTGTGTCCTCTTGGGAGATTAAGCACTGAACAAACACCGCAGTGCCCAAGAAATGTCAAGAGAGAGAGGGGAGAGAGAGAGAATGAAAACCTGAAATCTAGATGAAAAACAACTCATACTGGGAGATTTAGCCCATTCAAACTGTTTATCAAAAGGAGATTGCAAGGAAACCTGGTTACTGCACAGAGTGGGCACTGCTGGCAATAAACACAGCACTACTGCCTCTGGTGCTGCTCCTCTATCAGCCGACCCTGCTGGGCTTCAGTAGTGTTGTGAGAAGCCCAGCATCAACCTGCACAGGAGCCTTGGTGACAGCAGCCCCAGCACAAGCCCTCAGTGTGGCAGCATCTTTGTGGTGTGGCTCTGGTGTGAATGTGGCAGCACCCAGATGTGGTGTCCAGGCTTGGAACAGCTCACAGAGATCTGGGAGAACGTGCTGCTCCCTGCAGCTCAGTCGAGGCTCCTTTCAGCAGCAACATATCTATGGGTAATTGTTTTGTGAAAGCAGCTGCAACAGAGGGAATGGGAGACATCCAGAAAATGGAGTGTTTGATAGCAGGGCCACCAGCTTTTCATTACTCCAAAAGCCGCTGTGTGGTTTTGGTGACAAGTAATCTGAACGGCAGCCATTCATCACCTTTACAAACACTATCAGCCAGAAACCTAAACAGATCACCTGTCAGCATGGAAACCATGAGCTCAGTCTGCACATCCTGCAGACCCAGCTCTTTGCTGAGCAGGATCCCAATGCCAGCATCCCCTCAGCAGCACTGCTGGGAGCCCTCAGACCCCAGGCCAAAGGGCCATAGCCTGGTCGGAGCGAGGCTGAACCTCACAAGGGGCCCACAGTGCGTGACATAGCGGGGAGGACCGCTGCCACTTGGGCTGGAGTGTCCCCAGAGCCAGCTTTGCTCAGGAGGCAGGGAGCATTGTGGCCCTCTGAGGAGCCGTCCTGGTTGCACATCACCTTGGCACGAGTCGTCTGCCCCTCAGTGCAAGCTGTAATTAATTACAGTCCTTAGCAGCTCTGTCCCACTGGGCCACCGTCACACTGCGGCTCAAAACATTCTATTTAAGGTCACATCAATCCTATCCCAAATTATTGTTCTTTTCTTATTTCAGGTAAGCGCACGGACTGTTTTAGCTCGCTTTGCTGGGCAATGCCATTTTCCTGTTCTACGAGTATCCAAACAAATAAGACCTCGAGGAGCATTCTGTAATTAAGTATCACCTTTTATTTTGTTCATTTACACTTCTGGCACTGACAATTCTTTGAAGATATTTACTTTTATGTAAAGACCAAACGTCATTAAAGCAATCAGAACAGAAGTCAATTAAATAATTATACATTACTGAAGTTTCAGAAAATGTACAACACTTTCATACATTATAGGCTTGACTGGCTGCAAAAGGAAATGGCACATGTTTGACATTGTTCAGATAACAAAATAACTTGGATGATCTGACAGTGAGTTTTGCCCAAACCTGTTTTGTACCAAACACCACACCATGCATCCTGATGGCACCATATGCATGTTATTATGGAACGCAAAAGCATTTATTTCTACCAATTTGGTCTCCAATAAAGTCTCAAATACCCTAAAGAGAATTCGTGGCAGAAAGACCCGGGCGATGCTTTTGTAGGGCTGTGAGATTCCAGATGAAAGGCAGACACAAGACCTGTGCCAATTCCCGCCATGCCCCGGACCAGCAGGACACTGGAGCACATGAAGAACGTCGAGAACAATCATCCCACCACTTTCATGGGCACCACAACAGCGCCCAGGCAGGGCGGGGGCACGAGCTGGGGCTGGCAGCCCAGCACCGGGGAACCCTTGGGCTTCCCCCCAGCACCCAGCCCCCCAGCTGAAGTCTCTCCTGCAGAAGTCACGACGTCAGTCCTACATTCAGTCCTCTCCAAAGTCTGTGTGATGTTTAAGGCAGCGACAGAAATTTGCCTTTAACACTTCCTGAACGGATGTTTCCTTTAGAAATACAGGGACGTTACTCATAATTAATCAGCGCTCCCCTTCCTTGTGCAAATACAATGAAATGTCAAACTGAATTTTGAAGGATCGGAGTGCAACTGAAGCACGCTTGAAGCTTTATAATTACACACACCGAGTCATTCAGCTGTAACACACCGTGTAGGAAAAAACATGAGGAAGTGGGCCTCGAGGTGAACTGCAGGTTCCCAAGGCCGGGTTCTGGTCCAGCTCCCCATGTGCTGTAGTGAAGCTGACAGTGAGCCTCGAGGAGAGGTGTGAAACATGCCGCTGGGTCACGCTGACAGCTCAGCCTGGCTAAAGGGAATGCTCATATACACAACTCTGGAACACCATTAACACCCATTTACAAAACACTACAGTGATGGTTATCGGCACATAAAAAACTCTCTATATGAAAACATACACAAAATAGATAAGAATTGCCTTTTTTTTTTCAGACTTTTAAAATCTATAATATAGTTGCCTTTAAGGAGTTTTAACCCCCGATATCACTAACAACATTATTCTTTAACAATGTTCACCTAGGTTTTACTGTGCTGACATTTTTAACACTGCCACAACCTAGACCACTTTGTGGACTACGCTTACTGTACTGTACACAAGGCGATGGAGATTGATAGAAAACCACCAAGAGTTTTGCACAAAAATGTGACTCGTTAAAATCCAGAGAACAATTGTGTCACTTGATAGGCAGCAGCTACATATAAGCTGTAAATATTACCTGCAATAAAAACACATTTTGCCATAAAGCACATACTGTGGCATTATCTGCTTCTGGCCTGGTACACAAAGCTCTGTTTTCTTCCCAATGAGGAATGGGGTTTGGTTGGCTTGGCTCTCTCAGAAAAGAGTGCACAGATATCTGACTCGTTAAAGTGCTTCGCACGACTTGCTACTCTGACTTAGCTCCTGCTCTGTGCAATGAAGGCTCTGACCCGTCCCCACTGAGTTTGGCCTGCAGAGCCTCTAAGGCAATCGCAAGGAGAACTTCAAGATGTCTGTGTTGGAGCAGCAGTACGCTGAGCAGTGGAGGGTGGGTGTGAGGCTGAGAAGCGGGGCCTGCTCTGACCGACCCGCAGTGTGTTTGCAGGGAGTGCCCAAAGCACAGGCCCTCCTGGACTGCCAGGAGCCCCGCAGTGAGCTTCAGTCAAAACTTCCTCCTATTGTCCAGCTGAGGACAGAGACTTCACAGAGGAAGAAAGCATTCGCTCTGCTATCTCTATTGCCGTGTCCTCACCCCCATGAAGAGGGGAAACACAGCCCCTGCCCTCAGCCTGCCCGTCCTGCTGCCCTCTGCAGGACGCCACCTGCGCCGGGAACCTCCCTGGTTCCCTGCCCTTCTGCCCCTCAGGAGAGATGCCAACAGCTCCTGTCGGCTCCAATCCTATCCCTACTGAAACGTGCCACATCTTTTGTTTCTTACCCCACACCGTCTGACAGGGGAGGCACTGAGACTCGCTGGTTGTCAATGTCTATGGCAGCAACCTAAGGCGCACGTGTACAATGCAGCTTCAGCCCTCAAAAGAGTCCCAGGGGCTTGCTTTACTTTTGTTGGTTTGGTTTTCTTTTAAAACCAAGTTTGTTTCTCCCTTTAAGAAATGATTTTGAGCAACAAATTGACAGTGGGAAGAAACAAGTTGCAAATTACTTCACACACCCCCCTGCCCCCAACACTGTAAGAATTTGAACATGGTTAATAAACCCCCATAGGTGAATTAAGGTGAATTAAAATACGAAAGGTTAAAAACTCATCAGGAATTGTTCCTTTTATTCTTGCTCATAGGTCCAAGCCTGTAAAGAATCTGAGCTGCTGAAATATTTCAAACTGTAGAGTGTGATCAGTGTCTGATCCACACACAGCCCTACCAGCAGCGCTCCTCATGCACAGAATACCTGAATGAAGGTGCAGTCCCTGCAAAGGAACTCCTACCCACCTCCTGCAGAAAGCTGTCTGTAGGACAACATTGTGCTTAGGTGTGCTACTTATGCTACTTCATAAATTAACGTTCTGTCGTAAGAAATGACTCAACTGCATTTGTATTTGTATTCTTCTGTCTGGAATGTCACTAGCACTACCCTTAGCAAAAATTCTTAAAACTTAAAATAAGCACAAATATAAAAATCTTTGCAAAATAGAAACATTTGTTTAATTACCTTCATACATTATAAACGTTCACAGATTCTAAAAATAAAACCCTAATTGCCCTAATTATGTAAGATTAATTTCAAGTATTTGATCTCACTTTTAAGATACATGATGCTTGGTAGTAGGTCCGGGGTTAATAAGGTGTGGAATGTTTCCTTTGTGTAAAGCAACCTTAAGAGGAAGACTAAAACCCAACTCTGTGGGTAGGAAAGGGGATTGACAGCAAAGAAGCCAATATATTTTGCATCCTCATAGGAAGTAGTGACAATAAACAAGATGCTTGTGATTCAATTGCTTTGCCTCAAGAAAAAGGGCCCAGGATGTAAAACTTCAGAAAACTGCTCTAAGAGAGACTGAATTGTAGTGTGGGAAACAACCAAATGCCACTTCTGAGAACGTCCAGGAAACAACGCTGGCAAAGAGAGATTGTCTTCTGCTGCTAAAAAGTCCCAGCACTGCCTGCAAGAAAAAAAAGAGGCTGATCTTGTGACAGCAGTTTTCATAGGGACTTCACTTTGGTTATGCCACCAAAGTGCTGCTGTTTCCTCTACCTGTGGACATGGAGGTAAGTGCTGGAACTGGGAGCACAAACCAGTGCTCCCAATTCCAGTGCTTCCATCAAGGGACCTTGGGCTCACGCTTCTGGGGATCAGAGCCATAAGTCCTTGTCCTGAAAAACCAGGAAATACCTGCCTCAGTCTGTCTTTGTGCAGCATCCCAACGTGCACACGTTGGGCAGTAGGCACCTATTCACACTGCTCTGGATAACAACCTGCTCTGAAGCAGGGTCGTCCAACAGCTATTTTTTGGCTTCAGAAGGAAACCAATTCACGCTGAACTTCACCTATGAGAAGCGTCCCTTTCTCTCATTTCAGGTACTGCACCTTTGGCGAGGCTTTGAAGCGGCAGCAGCCCAACGGCTGGTCTGACACTGATGTGTTCAGATAAAGGGCTGGAGAGCCGGTCCTTTCCTGCTGCTGGTGCTTACAAGCCTGGGAATATTGTGCGCTCACAGAGAGGGAAGGAGGGTGGAGGATTGGGATGCAGCCCTGTCACCGCCCCTCAGAGGCTCGAGGTCAGTCTGCTCTTTGCAGTAACTCACCTCTCCCTTTGTTTGCTATGCTTTTCCCTTTTATTCCCAGTCAAGTTACAGAAGGATGCTCTAAAATACTTTCTTTCCAAAAATATTTCTTTGATTTATGAAGTAAAAAAGAAAATCACCTAAAATACATCCAATCACTGAATTTCACTCATTAGAGAGTAAGAAACCTCTCCTGTATAAGATCAGACAGCATAGCATCATATTTCATGATTACAACAAAAACTCCACATATTATCCAATAAAAATAACTTAGTAACAAATGTTCACTATCATTTTGACAGTTCCTTTACACTCAAAATATTTTTCAATCCAAAAAGAGCCCACAAAGTGTATCTCTGAAAGGTAGTGGATCCAACAACTTCTGTAATCCTTACACAATGAAAAATAAATGCATTTTTACCAAGCAAATGGGGAGCAGCCTACAGGCAGAGGAGGCTTTCCACATTCATGAAGCAAAGGTTTTAGAGATAAGAATTTGAATTTTTTATGCTTTCAAACTCATACCTCCAAAGAATTAAAGCCGTGGAAAGAAACAGGGCAAGGAAAAAAAATAACATTACACTTTTATGTAGCTGCATAAAATTCAATTTGCCAAGGCAGGCAATCACGGCAGGTGAATAAAACGCCATTAATATTTTCATTACCACACTAAAGGCAGCCAACTTGATTTTTGTGCCTGACGGTTTCTTGACAATTTTGCAATGCTTCAGTAAGGCAGTTAATATGAGATGTAGGCTTCTGCCCATCACTAATATTTTTCTTTTGATCCAGAAAGACACGGGTTGACTAAGGGCATTTGAAGGAAAAATTTGCTGGGATTCACTCACTCTGCAATAGGAAGATAAACTGAAGGCAATTTGATTATTCATTAGCAAAAGGCACAGGAGGAATGACCACTGTGCATTTAGCAGCAGAAAACCTCTCCCTTCCTTTTATTTCTTCCAGCTCGTGATATTTTGTGTTCAAAACTAGGCACAAACCCAAATGTACACATGCTGAAAAGGAGAAAAAAAATCATTTTGGTTTCCAACTGACTGTAGCCTCTCTGTTGTCCGTAGCAATGCACACCACCAGCTCACTGGTACATGCAGCCATGTCCTGGGTTCTGTTTCCTGCTCTCAGAATGTTGTTCTGGCAGTGGATCTCACAGACACGAGCTGCTGACCGCAGCGTGTCCGTAAAGAGCAGCAACCGCAACACAACCTGGGACAACAGACTCGTGGCGCCCTGATGAGGCACCACCTGCGGGACCATGGCTCTCTGCAGTCATCTCAAATGGATACAAATGAAATTCCATTGGGATAATTTGGACAAGGTTCCCTCTGACAGACACAGGAGATACATGTAATCCTTTCAAATGGCTACCACTGCAGCAGCAACCTTTGTTGTGTGGCATACAAGAGCTGTCTGATAGACTGCTAAGAGCTGGGGATCTGACTGATGTCAGCTGCTTTCTGACTAGCTACAACATTACTTCAACTTTTGCCAGTATTGAAGATAAGGACAACCACTGACCACCTAGGATAGCCTTCTACATTCATCTGGCACAGTACATCATGCAAAATACCTCAGCATGGTGTGGGATTGCAAACATCTGGTTAATTCATATAATTGTGGAATTCAATCTCTTTTGGAAGCCATTGCTTTTAGTTATCAAGAAAACATGAGCATATTGAATTTCCTCCCAAACGGAGCCATTTTGAACACGAAGGCATTTTTAACTAGACAGCAGAAAGGAGAACCAGACCAGAAGCAGGGCAGTGAGGTCACCAGAGAGCTGCTTTTCCCCCAGAAGGCTTTTACATGATTAAATACATTAGCAGCTGAAAATTATTCCACATCAGAAGCATCATTGTCAGAAAGATGGTAATTACTTCCCTTCACCCGAATATATTCAATATACCTCCCTTCATCAGAATCTGACATACCACATGTACATAGCCTGCTTTCAAACAAAGATTCAATTTCCTCTAGCTTTTTCCCTTTAGTCTCAGGAAGGCAGCCATAGATGAAAAGGAGTCCCAGGCCAGCAAACCCTGCGTACAGAAAGAAGGCTCCTGCAATACAAAAGAACACACACAGTCAGTGATGGAGCATCCCACCCCTCTGGGAAAGGCAGAAGAACTCATCTGTTTTTTTGGCAAGTCATTTTGCTGTGAAAATAAGCAGCAATTAAATTATTGCATAGCCAATAAAAAAAAGTTGATAGGAAGGGTGAGAAGTTTCTTAGTTATTCTTAATGTCACGGGAATCACTAAGACTGCTTCCCAAAAATGAGAAACTTCAACAAAAAAGAAACAGCCGCGATTAAAACAATGCTTGAGACTCTTACATCTAATTATCACTTACCAAAGACAATTGGCACTGAGAATGATCTCATCACCCCTCATACATTTGCCCCCGCCATTTAGGGGAGCAAAGAAGGCACCAAGAGCCCAACATTTACCTGCCATTTGTTTCAAGACCGATGCCTGAAAAGAGCAGCAGCTGCTGAAAGGCTCTGCACCAGTAATGATGTGAAGGTCACCAGATCTTCATGCAGTGTATAGGACTTGTAGTGGAGGGGCTGAGCAGTAAGCTGACCAGCTCCAGCAGACAGGACTCAATAATCAACAGCTGGGAGCAGATCAGTAGCATCTTCAGCTGTACGGACTTTTGGCAGCGACAACTGATGTTGGTCTCAGATGCCATTACAAAATGAGAAATTGCAGATGCCGTCTTTCTAAGTGAAATATTTCATCAAGCCAAAAGGTAATTTTTTTCAGATTCCTTGTTTATGCAACTTTCTAGAAAGAAAGAAGCATTTCTTATGGAATCAGGACCAAACTGCAGGCAGGTCATACCAGGTGCCTGGTCTTAATGGAACACAGTTAGGTGAGAACACTGCATTCACAGTTGCAATTTCATAGCCAAACTAACTGAGATCTAGAATCTAAGCAGCAGAAAATCAATGCTAGCACTGTGTCCGTGGACAGAGACTGTTCCTTACCATAGTAGGTCAGATATTCAGCTGTATGCAGGAAGGTCAGTGACACCAGCACGTTGAAAACCCAGTTGACTCCAGATGAACACGCGTTTCCTGTACTTCTAGCCCACAGAGGGTAGATTTCAGAATTCACGGTCCAGGGCATGGGACCCATCCCTAAGAATTAAAAACAAATCAATCTCAATTTAATGGCTGCATTGAAGAGCAATTTTAATGTGTAGCCTCACCATTTATTATTTCACCTTTACCATTTCTTAAACTTCAACGTGAAAACAAACATTAGCTTACCAGGTGCAAAGAAAACCAAGTATAAAATAAGGCCCAGAAGTGCTGTCCAGGAGTATGGGGTGGGGCAGAAATTATACGCCCAAAACAAATCTTCTTTTTTGAATATGGTTTCATTTGAACACCTGAAAAAAAACAATAAAATCTAGTGTTAAACAGTTTTCAGGGAAAGGATGACATATCAAAATTATCACGGCATGCAGCTTCTTAGGGAAAGCTGACAAACGTGAAATTAAGAGAGGAAAGCCCCACCCTGTTTTGTCCTTTAAGCCAAATCCTACATTTGGAAATGTGCTTTTTCCTGAGCCTCACAGATAACATTGTGTGTGGCCTTAGGAAGAGCACCCTGCAGCACATTCCTGAGTTTAAGCACTTGGCTTCTTGTATCTGCTCCTTCAAATGAATTGTCTTTATCAGGCCAGCAGTCACACCGAAGCCAATGAGAACACTAACACAGATATCACACAGCGCAACAAGAGGTGCAGCGGCAGAATTTGAGCTGAAAATGAAAGGATTTAGGTGAAATGGAAGTTAGCCCTTAAGGCACTGTGCTGTGTGCAGCACACCTTGGGTGTAACGGGTAAAGGCTGTGGACTGTGCTACAGCAACATGAAGTTGTAAGAAAAGGAGAAATAGACTTCCTTTTCTCTGCAGTGAAATAATTAGGAAGGTCACGGCATTTCAAACTAGACAGTAAAAAGCAGAATCAGAGCAGAGGTAACAGAGCCTGAGCTGATAAAAGACAAACTGATTTTATTCCCAGGACTGCGTAGAAATTGCATATTTCTAGGAATAGGCATAAAATCATGTATTTGAGTGCCAACAATGTAAAGTATTTTAAAGGAATTCTGACAACTTCATCTTTTTGTTATATATCTTATTTGTGGAAATTAGCATTTGTTTAAAGGAACAACAAGCCATTGCTGTAACTAGAGAAACTTTTCAGCTGCAATCTCAGCAATTGCTGCAGCTGAAAAAATGTGTACTTCTGGCAGAGTAGACTTAGGCAGAGAACACCCTTTCATATGCAAACCAAGTTATTTCCTTGAAGAGAAGTCACAGAGTACTGAACATCTGTCTGGACTACGATTTCCAGCTTAGCTGAGCACTTATGTGAAGGACAGGACCCTCTCTTTTGTAGAAAAACTAGAACAAACCCTGCAGTGGGTGATAAATCAACATACTGATATTGCAACAAATAGCAAGACAGAGGAGCAAAGATCACCACTACAGCCAGCTTCCTAAGGAGAATTTCCAGCACAACTTTCTCCTCTAAGTTTTCCATTACGAAACTATCAGCCAGCTCTGAACTGAAGAGGAATGAATGCTGGTGAGCACCAGGGTGCCCAATGGCTGATTCTGGGGCAGAAACAGTCCTGATGTTGGCAAGAAAGTAGCAACAAACAACTTTTACAGCAAAGGCATCACCATGAAGTCCCAAACCCAGTTTTGGGACAGTCGGACATCCGGAATTCAAATACACTTAAACAGAGGGGTTAATCCAAGAAATCTTGGGAAAGTGTGTGTGAAAGCACAGCCAAACCTTTTCAGTGGCAGTGCCAGCTTGCACCTACCTCATGTAGTGCACACAGATTCAGTTTTGGGGTGATCAATAATATAAGGAGAACAGAGTTCAGCTGAACAGCACCCTGACAGATACGTCCCTCAAGCCTGAGATGCTGGCAGCTGCCAAATCTGGTATTTCTGCCTTCTCTCAGAGTGAAATCCTACAGCCAGCATTACAATTTCTTGATCTTGCTTCTCAGTACTGCCCAGCATTGTCCTTCTTATGGCACTTTGCTCTTTCATGGCTCAGCTCAGTGTCTCTTTTATGTCATGACAGCCAGGCAGGGATCATTCCCCATCAGCATCCACTCTGACATTCTCACCCTGATCTCTCACCACGTATGGGTCACATCAGCTCCCAGATACATCTCAGGTACAGAAGGCAGAACTGTGCAATTCCTCACATTAGGGAAATGCTGTTTGCAAGACGGATTACCTAATACCTGGAGATGACATTGCTACCTCTCATTCCACCTTAATAGCTGCCTGCTTCATCAGCATCCCTGTGAAATCATGGCATTGCTCAGTGCCACACATTTGTACAACTGCACATTTGCTTCTTTGCTACTACTCTCATTTCATTCGCAGGTGTTTGGTAATAAATACAAACTGATTAGCGTGCTAAAATGCCCTGATGCTGAAAATGGTTTCTCCAGTCAGGCCAGCCAGCTTGGCAGCTCCTCGAAGAGAAGCCTCATACAGTGATGTGCTTGGTTAATTACCTCACATACACCTCTATCAGCCAACCTGCCAATTCACAGCCACAGCTATGGGGAGAATGTGTCCCCCACCCCCTTTCCCTACACACCATCTATGTGAGAAAGCCCTGTATCACTGAAGCCTCCTATTGCAAAAGCTGCTGAGTATGCCCTCCTCTCTGACTGTAACTAAGAGGAAATCTGGTTGCAAGAAAGCAGATTCAGTACATTGAAACAGGAAAGATTGCACAGAAAACATGGATTTAACAGAAACCTTGCAATAATAAGCTTCTGTGTTTTACTTATCCTTCAGGAGTAAAACAGGATGGCACACAGAATGTAAGAAAAGGCACCTGCATTTGTTGGAGTCTTGTATTTGCTGGGTATGCACACAACAGCACTCCAGTGAGGACACATCCAGGGGTGCACTCAGGTGCTGTCACTGTGCTAATTTTCCTGCTGCACTCCATTTCTATGAGAGCTGCTTTGTGCTAAAGAATGTATTAGTGATTTCTGTATAAGATAATGCCAGATATAATTCTGAATTTGGTCTGGGATGAAAGACCAAATAGGAATCTATACTGGAAAGCAGACAAGCAGCTACTGATCTCTTCACTAGCTAAAAAGCACAGAGAAGCTTCCATGTAAACCACTTACAAGTGAAATTATGCAGTCACGTACCACTGCAAATAAATAACAACGTGCTGGGTCATTGGCACCTTTGTATAAATGGTGAAGACAGACCACATTCTTCCCTCTGAAATTGCTGCCAAAGAGAAAGCACGATTACTTTGAAAATCTTTACCACTCATTATGTTCTCCCCAGACATTTTAGGAAGCACATCTGTTATAATCAGTGGAAACCAAACCTTCTGACAATTGATGTGAACAATTCTATGGACTGGAAATTAATCAGAACAGCAGCAGATTTCTATGTTATGTGCATTATGTATTTGGTTTCAAAGAGCCCATCCTAGATCAGATTTAGCCTGTAGTTCAGGAGGCGTAAAGCTTTGCTCCCTGCCTTCTAAATTACCTTCGTACAGTGCATTAAAAGGTGAGAAAGAAGGGCTGCTGCAGGTGGTCTAAGAGGCAATTCTTAATAACAAGAAGATAAAACAAGATAAGACCACTTCCTTGATAATCAGTCTAAATTATCCTAATAGTTGAGCCAATTTGGTTGCAGAGTAATTCTCAACACTGAAAACCACAAACCAGGGCTGTCTTAGATGCTGCATAGCAAAGAACATGTTAGCACAGCACAAGAAGCCTGGTTTTCTTCTCAAACTTCTGTTAATTTTTACTTTGCTCCAGTGAGGAATGTGTGGCTCTAAATATATGGCTTTGTAAGAACCGAGTGTTTCATTTTGAAAAGCCCTTATATTTTTAATATGAAAGCTGCTAACTTCTCACTGTCTTTTCAGCCCTTCAGAAGCATCTTAAGTGGATTTAGATAAAAAAAATTCTAAAAGGTCAAAACTCATATCTAATGAGATTATGGAAATAAATTACTGCTAAAGAAAAATGAGTGTTATCGTTTGTGTTCTTAAAAAGCTCATTAGAGCAGCCTTATTTCCAAAGTACGCATCCTGCTCTGAGATAAATGTCAGCATTGGGTTTGGATGGTACAGAATTCAGATCCAATTCTCAGTTGCACTAATCCACCATTTCTTTGTTCTAACAAGAGGAAAAGGATGCTTAAGGATTGTTGTTATGTCAGACTTCTGTGTCTGGGTTATCAAGACAGAGATAACTGACGGTTTATCAACTTAGTTTCTGGTGTAACACCAGTTCATGGATTTGAAATATCGCCATTAAAGTGATCTTAAAAGTCTCCTTGTGTAAAGAGCTGACTTTCATATCACGCCCATCAAACTGAGCAATATACAGCTAGCCTGAGCTTACTGACCCAGCTTTCTACCAGAAGCCTGGGCACGGCAAGGACAGAGCAGCCAACTGACCTCACTAAGAGTAGCTGCTGCCTGCAAGAGGAACACTTCCTGTAGGAGATGCTTGGGGACAACTAAAATTATTTACCTACAGGCAGCTACTGGTCCCGTGGAAGAGTTCACTCCTTAACATTTGCTTTGGTTGTCACAGCTTCTCTGCTTCCATTGAAGATTGCTGTTTGTTCAAACAGACCCCTAACTGTCTTAACATTACTTGCAGGAGAGACTTACTAAGTTATCAACCTAATTGTGCAATAAGTTTGTGTGGTCAGACACGTAACTAAGGACAGCTTTGGAAACTGCCTCTATGCTGCTCATCGGGTGAAGCTGAGCTGAGGCTGATCCAAACAAGACCCAAAATTAAGCTGTGCTGGCACCAGAGGCAGTTCAAAGCTACAGGTTCATTCACCCGGCCTCTACCATCTGCCAAATGCAAAAAAGATCCCTTAGCAAAATCCATTGAACTGCAAGATATAGTTTCACTATAAATCAGTATATCCTGGTTTAATGAGAAATTTCTACTCCTTTCAGCATCTGATTTTATTTTTATATGTAGATATACGTAAGGTAAGATGCTATCTAAAGTCTCTAGTGTAACTCATTCCTTGCAGCAAACAGCAGATTGACTACACAGTGAGCAGTATCTGAAGCCATACTGAAACTTCTCAAGGTTCCCTAGCTGCTGCCTGCTGTGCCTCTAAGATGCACCATAGATCCACGTCTCTTTTGAGAAGTTTGCATCCACTGCTTTGAGTCTGTAGTTGGCACAGAGAAGTAACTCATCCACTAAACTGGACGCTGCTAAAAAAAATGCAGGTGGCATTCTCATGCCAAGTGATGGCAGTAATAAAGTAATAAAGCACATACACACAAAAACCACAGAAAAGAACAAGAACAAAGAACAAACATACG